TATGACTACAGTTCCATGAAAATACCACAATATGACTACAGTTCCATGACAACACCATCTTATAACTACAGTTCCATGAAAACACCATCATATGACTATCGTTCTATGAAAACACCATCATATGACTACCGTTCCATGAAAACACCATATGTAACTATCGTTCCATGACAACAACATCATATGACTACCGTTCCACGACAACAACATCCTATGACTACCGTTCCATGACAACAACATCATATGACTACCGTTCCATGACAACAACATTATATGACTACAGTTCCATGAAAATACCACAATATGACTACAGTTCCATGACAACACCATCTTATAACTACAGTTCCATGAAAACACCATCATATGACTATCGTTCTATGAAAACACCATCATATGACTACCGTTCCATGAAAACACCATATGTAACTATCGTTCCATGACAACACCATCATATGACTACAGTTCTATGACAACACCATCCTATGACAACCGTTCTATGAAAACACCATTTGTGACTATGGTTACATGACAACAACATCATATGACTACCATTCCATGAAAACACCATCATATGACAACCGTTCCATGACAAAACCGCCATATGACTATGGCCATAGTTGTTCCTGATGTATCAAACTAAAACATCAATAGATATATCTCGTGTTTTGAAGACAAATGGATGCTACAACATTAACACGTTTAAATCTATCAATTTAAATATGTATTTATGGTAACAGAATAAAGTCCCGTGCACGTGGGTCTGTTCTGTATCGCCTAAATGTGCTGTCTGACAGTCCCACACTTGACGATTTCCAGGTGGCTTGCAGTGGGCCTGGCCGCAGACATCGTGATTTGTTTCCAGTTCTCCATTCTTGCATCTATCCAAGACTCAAGGTCGTGCTTTCTATTCTGAAAAAATATATGTTTCGGTTTTTCTACGCTAGGGTTTTTCAAATACCAATGACCAGAATGTCCTTAGACGGGCAACTATCGGAACTATGTGCAGGTTGTCATGAAACCACTCACGTGGTTAAGGATCCCTATCCCAATGTATTGTAGTTTTTTCCAATATAGTTACATACCCTTAACCACCGTTTGAATAAACTTTTGACAAAGTAACTCAATCGATTAGAGTGATAGTATAACAATCTGAAGTTCATGCAGGGTTCGAATCCCGGTCAAGCCCCGCTTTTCATAACCCTTTCACCACTGTAGACCATAATGGATTCCTCCAGATCAATGCAAGGTAGAGTCTACTAAAGTCACCTAGGGATGAAAGGGTTAACACTCAGAACACTGTTTCTGATTATATTATGTTCATTTCATCTTTATCATAGTACCGCAAAGTATTATTTTCTCTTCAGAAATGATTTATTAAAGTTAAAATAATGCCGAAAAAACAGTTTCCTATACTTTATTATAGTTTTTGGCAGTGGTACGGGGGTCCTCAAGCCTAAAATCTGTTTTCATACCATCTGTCCAGCTACTGTATGAAATCACGTCACAAAGTATAGACAGTGAAAAACTGTATTCAGTTTCAAGTTTCCTTAAAGTGCCTTCAAAGCATTGAATGAAAACAATATTGATCATTGGCTTGAGGACAGAATACGTATACAAGCCCAGGTATTACTGCGGTGATACTGACGAAAAATGATTCTTTGGATCGGCATTTTCAAAGAACCCTCCATTTAAAACTACGTGCTCAAATGAAAGAGCTTTACTTAATCTGTAAGACGGTGGCTTTGCGACAACGTTAGAGGCTGAATGGCTTTCATTTAGACCAGACCTTGGTTGATACTACCAACAATGTATCGTCGAAATTTCCGAGGTTACGCTCGCTCACGCTCTTTGCATTCCTGGAGTTTGATATAACTAAATCGTTGGTGCTGTATGTGTCACTGGTGGTTAAAACGCAAAAGGACTAGTTTGATTCTCCGACGTACAGAAAAAGAATCGCGCTGAGCGTACGTAACGTCAAAATTGACCGGCTTTGATATCGGGAGTCGCTCCTCTGTGATCTTCATAAGTCAGGTATCAGCCTAGCGATTCTTTTGTTTTTGTATACCTGAAACCAAACGAATGGCTAACCGCGTGCCATTGATTTTTTCATGCATTCAAGGGTGCAGAGAACGAAGCAAAGTATAACCTCAAGGCATTTCGAGGATGAGGTGTAAGCGCGATTTTGGTTATAAGAATTCTGTGCTTTGGATAAGCACAAACATGTTCAAAGAATTTAAATTAGAACTACGTACTCACATGAACCTTAGAACGACCTCTCACTTGTATGTGTAGCTTTTCAAGAACTTGAGAGGTGGCATGGCGTTGAGTCAGACTGGACCTTATAGTTGATATTACCAGCAATTGTTCTATTTCGGTCATACCACTTCGGGAGTACCTAGCTATTACTCGATTGTTTTATGATTTACTGTAAACCAACTGAGTTTAACTAATGATCACTACTGTTGACCGAGGAATAAAAAAAAGTTTTCTTTACAAAGCGAGGTGCTTTACGTAACGCAAACTATATTTCTTGGTATCGTAATGTAATAAACTTAGGACCATCAAAAGACACGTTATTTTGTGAGAGTTGTTATACAAAAATAATCACTTGCGATTTACCTTTTAGCTGCTAGAATTTTGTTTCAATAGCTGAAGAAATAAATGAAGACGCTTTAATGCAATAATATGTGTTAATATTTCAGGCACAACGTCATCATTAACGATGTCATAAAGTGTGACGCCAAATAGCAGCAATATCTTGCGCGACGTCTCAGCATGCGATTTTTACTCCCAATATGACGTCAGCCTCACCTTTTGGAGCAGATTAAGAGGATGGCTGGAAAGATCATGCAATATTGTCTGTGTCATAAAAAAGCTCAAAGAACATCAGTTGAAGCCTTCTTTTCGTATTGCAGAGTTATCTGCTCTTGTGAGCAGGTATTGATTGTTACGTCATTGGTTTGTAAGAGTAGCTTCATCAATTTTTGAGAAAACGACGTAATTTTCTCACACAAACCCATGACGTAACAATCAATACCTGCTAACAAGAGAAGGTACCTCTGCAATACGCAAAGACGGAACTGAGAAAACGACATTACCAGGAACAAAATGATAATGTTACTATCCAGACGAAGTGCCTCGAGTGATAAGTGTCTTCCGAATGAAAATACTTGTAATCCGTAGACAGGTAAATAGTTGTTGAATGAAATGATTCCGATGCAACATTATGGTAGATCTATAATTGTACTTCACAAACTTACATTTTAATGAACTTTCAATTTCCAATATTCAATACAAGAGGCAGACATAACACTTTAAGGTTAGTCAAATATATTATTTTCATTACATTCTTGATTACAACTTGAGTGAAAACAAGACTTTTTCTCAGTTGTGCTTTTTGTGAATTTTACATTAAAATACTTTTATATCTCTGGTAGAACGACAATTATCTTCTGCTTGAAAAACGTAATATATATGTCGTCAAATAAGGTAAAATCATCGGGCGCAATACACCAGAGGTGGTATGCAGATTATTTGAAGAAGAAGAAATAGTTTCTGCTCTCCTTGGATAAACATGGATATATGAATTCAATATATGGTGATTACATTAAATAATCTATTTCTACATAATACAAGGGGAATGAGATCCAACGTCCGTTAGTGGATGTTCAGCGAAGTTCAGCATACCCAAGTTGATGGAAATTCACCGACATCAGAGTAATAGAAATTCAAAGCGGGGACCCTCACAAATTTGCTAGAGACTACACGTTTGAAATTATTATCAAATTAGAATTTGTATTTCGAAATAAGTTCAAAAATAAAAAAATAAAACATTTTTTTCATTTAATATGTTTGTTTATTTATTCATCATATATTTATGAATCACAGACAGAAAAAAAGTTGAAGTCCTACCAGGAACTTATACTAGTGCGACTGTTACGATTCCTGGGTGATTGTTGACTGGCGTTCGTACACAGCGACAACGTTTGGTCTGCAACCTGGCACATGTACATTGCAAGCCAACATACATACTATATAGATACACGGTTCAACACATTTTCTGCAACCTCGACAGTATCAAGTGGTAATTATAAGCCAACACAGGAAATACACAGTTACTCCGCTAAGAGTAACAGTTTAAATCGAGACAAGATAAACAAACACTTTTATTTTAAAAGTGTTCTTATTTGAAGGCCTGTGTTTAAAACATTATCTGTAAGTTTTCAAAAGTTGTCCGTCAATAACAAATTCCAGTTCACTTAACATACATTTTCTACTTTAAAATGTTCTAATTAACGTTATAAAGAAAATAATAAGTTCTCCGCCTAATGATTTCCAATTTACTTAACTTGCATTTTTTCTAATTTAAAATGTTCCTATTAATGTTATAAAGAAAATAATAAGTTCTGCATCTAAATGTTTCCAATTTATTACATTTTTCTACTTTAGAAAATTCAAATTAACCTCATAAAGCTAGCTCAATATGACTTTATCAAATACAAATTTGATTTATCTTTAAATCAAAATGGAATTATATTTCCTTCACAGAATATGTGAGCAATGATCCTTACCACAATATTAAGGTTGTTTGACCACTACCAGACACAGCACTGCATCTGGGTAAATAGGGTGAAGAATGATTTAATGGACATATATCGCTATCATTCATAGGAATTCATACTGTGCTCAAAACCACCCATACAGCATCTGTATGAATCTTCATTAATTTCAAGTTAAAATCTATCAGCATCATTAACAGCTAAAACAACGAGTTTATATAAAGTCACATATCATCCACACTAACCTGTGTACAGTTCTAGTTGGATCTCGATTATAAGTCGGCCAGTATGCATATTACACTGACAGAGTCAAATAGCAGTAATGACTAGGCCTGGTCTGTGTGCCATGAAAAGCCAGAAACAGTACATAATAACATTTTCAGCAATGTCACATATGTAAAAGTCGTTTCAACTACAAATACTTGTTAAAATGCATGATAACGCTACCGTAAATTTTCCCATCTCGAAAGTGAAACAGGCACAATCAATGAAGATTACACCCCCTCCTATCAAATTTTAAAATTTAACTCATTCACCCCTGAAGACATGTTTGAACTCTTCCAGTTCAAAGGTTGGACTAGTTCCTTGTAAAATTTCAGGGGTGAATGAGTTAAGTAACATTCGCATGTATTCAGTTTGCTTTTTACACACTTCCCTAGAGTGTCAATGTTTAAATAATAAAAGTTGATAACATCTTTCATCCAAGTTCAGTTGAAGCATTAAAGATCACATGATATCCTAGTGATGCAAAATATTTGAAACAAAAATTGTTATATTAAAAGAAATTGGGCAGAAAATTAAAAGCTACACTGTGTCAATTGTCTCTCTTCATCTATTGTTCTATTTCCCTGACTTGAAAAAAAAATCATGATCACTGATGAACAATATGTATAATCTATAGCAGAGGACCCGTGTTTAAAATCTTGATACAGCTAATAAAACAAGTCATTAACACAATTTTTCAAAATTTATTATTTTGAAAGATAATCCGAAAATTTTAAAATATTCGGCCCCCGGGCTGATATTAGAGTCTCCGGTTGATACTGGCATGTGTTCAGATAATCAGTTTAAATCCACAATACATTTTCGTATCACTCAAAATGTTAAAAAGATTAAGTCCCACAAAATACACTAAAGGATTCTCTTCCCACTGCACTGTGTTTTTTCTTATATACGATAACCTCTCCTTAACGTCCTCTAATTAGATATAACGGAAGCACAGTTTTGCCCAGGCGCTTCGTTTTCCAGGAAGCTCAATCACTTAAAGCAGTAGTATAACAAGCTGAGGTCCATGAGGGTTCAAATCGCAGTGAAGCCCCGCTGAACTTTTACACTCAGAACTCTATTGTTGATTATAATTCTGTACTTTCCTCTTAATCATTTCTCAAAGCAGTCCCACAAGGTATGGTTTTCTTTCCATTAATGATTTATCAAAGTTACAGTAATGCCAGAAAAAACTGTGTCCAATACTTAGTTACAGGTTTTTGGCAGTGGTACGGGATCCTTAACCCTTTCACCACTGTAGACCATAATGGACTCATCCAGTGCAATGCATGGTAGAGTCTACTAAAGTTAAATAGGGGTGAGAGGGTTAAAGAACTTACCAAAGGATTAACTACATTCTACCTGATACAGCGATTGATAACTGTAGAAAATGTCAAAATAATTGAAAAACTAAATTTCTTAAGAAATGATTCAGTTTTCAGAAGAGCGGTTTTAAAAAAATACATGGTTTTCTAAAATTAAAATGTAATCTGTAAGCATGCAGAGGAATATTTTTTACACAAGACTTTTGAGACAGACTGCATTTAGTTTTTAAACTGGAATGTTATGACGAAAGTGCATCCTAGCAGAAGACATTAAAACAATATAATGTTTTACAGTAAACCTGTCTATTTCAACCCTTGAGTATTCTAACATCATGTCATAATTTAACTCATTCACCCCTGAAGTTTCACAATGAACTATTCCACCCTTTGAATTGGAAGAGTTCAAATGAGTCTCCAGGGGTGAATGAGTTAACATAAAGCAACAATTCCACTTCTTGTTATAAAAACTACCAAATAAACCAGTTTATCGTAACACCCTGTAAAATTGAATCAATTTTTTCAAATGTTGGTTCCCACTGGGTGTCACACTTGACAGATTTCACCGTAAAAGTTGTGAACAGTAAATCTGCTTACTAACATATGGAAGTGTACATAGTAAATTGTATAGGTACTATAAATAAATATTTGTTCAACATGTAGCAAGATAACTTAAAGAATATGATAAGACAATTATTAATAAATAGGAGAGAGGACTACCTTTTTTTTCTAATTGTACCAGACACCTTGAAGTACATTGATTTTGTATATTGCACAGTAACTAAAAAGAACTCTCATTTATTTTTGGTAAGCTGAAATGTCGGAAGCAGTTTCCTTAACCCTAAGCATTGGTCGAAAATTATTTATTTATGTCGAAGTCTAGATGCCAGAAAACATTCTGTTGCAATTTCAGTAGCTGGTCTTAGGACGTTCTATTGGCATTCCTTTTCAATATACTGTAGCATTGTGTTCTGGAAAGTGGTAGCTTCTGTTAACATTTGCCTTTTCATAATGAGAACCAATGATTCATGACTTTGTGGGCAAGTTCAATCAACAGCCATTTTACCATAGTCTAGCTCTTACACCTAATGTGCTTACACATGCTGGTTAACAACAACCAATCACTGCCTTGGTTTCAAATAATTACGCATGCAGAGAGACGACCACTAGCTACTTTGGGCCGACAAAAGGAAATCAGTAAGTCGTACCACAGTCGTCCAGTCATGGGCACCATTTTTAGCTTTGTGCACAATGCATATTACCTAAGTGAGTTTGATGACAATTGTACTCTATAGTTAGACCATATAGTTATGTATACTTTAGTTGATCGAACTCGTCTTCTACTGGTAGACACAAGAGGGAGGAGGACTACTGGGAAAGGCAGACAAAAGAAATATTATTGCAGGATTCAATTATAACCAAGATTTTTCCATATTCTAAGGCAGCAGGTTCATAGATTTCAATGTTTTTCACCAATAATAAATATGGATATATAATCATTAAATAAGCAGGATTACATTGAGTAGTTGTCAGGGCTATATGTATACATGTGTACCTGTACTATTTGGTGTGAATGACAGTGACGCTTGGCACATCAAATACTATAAGTTAGAAATGGAAGCATGACATACACTAATTATATAATGTATCAACAAACAATGAAAACTGAATTTCATGTCTGGTTTTACTACGATATATGTACGGCTTCTGATTAAAATTTGTATTTTAAAAAAATCACGTCTACACATGATCTGAATTGTTATGTCAAGGACACCTTTCATAATGTTGAAAGAATCTCTTTTTCTTCATTTATGTTGGAGAAACAGTTAAGGCACCAGTAATACAAACAACTAAATCAAACTGACTGGCGAATGACTCTTCAAAGCAGCCTAACAAATTTGCTTTATCGACATCTAACATATTTAAAAGACCATAAAGTCCAATCCAACAACTACAATCCAGCTGTTTTAACAACATAAATGAAGAAAAAACTTAAATTCTTCAAGCTTCCCACTGATGATGATCTGAATTGTATCTGCATCACAAAAAGTCTTGTTTCGCATCTATTTTTTCATAAATAGTTAAGAAATGCGTACTAAACAGGACACAGTCACCCTGATTATCAGTCTGATTGCGCATGTAACTTGGTTTGATTATAACGTTTGCATTCAGTGTGAACAAGTTAGTTAAATAATTACATTTGTATGTATTGCTAAATAAAATGGGTAATACTTGTAACGTTACTAATCTCTGACTAAACCCCTGTACTGGAATGAACAGGACAAAATATAATAATAATTATAAACAAACTAAGAACATTTTTAATCCTAGAATATTTCTTTTAGTAAGTGTCCTTGTTTAATCCAAGTGTTTGCTGTGTGTCTACTCATTCACCCCTGAAACTTCATAATGAACTATTCCAACCTTTGAATTGGGAGAGTTCAAATGTGTCTTCAGGGATGAATGAGTTAACTACACACAAGCTTGAATACATGGGGCACAACGACCTTCACACAATGACCTTGACAAGAAACCACAAATTCTGACTTCTACTAATCGGTGACAGCAGGTATGCAGATTTTTAAAGATGCTGATACAGCCATTTAGTGAAATAATTACACATATGTACATTATTCGTATATTTAACAGATATTAATATGCGAATTCATATTTCAAAGTCTTGGATATTATATTCACACATACATATGTATAGTCTTCATATCTCCAAATCAAGGAAAAGAATTATCACAGGCTAAACTGGCCTTTTCTGCCATAAGATAAATAGGAGTGTGACCTGTATTGTAATCTTATTCGGCCTCCACAAACACACACAAGTGCACCCTGCATCTCCACCCGTCTCAATATCTATAACACAAGTGGCAACTAAACCATTCAAATTTCAATTGAAACACCCTTGGTTGTGAAAGGAACTTTAAAAATATTTAAAATCAATGATCATTTTCCAGTGTGTTTGGACTTTTTGAAAGAAATATCTAATACAATTCAATCGATCAATAACTATACAAATTCAGCCAGTAATGGTGAATTATTATAGGTCCTAACTTTATGGAATCTCTTGATCCTTTCATCCCTATGTAACAATAGTAGATTCTACTATGTATTAATATGGATGAGTCTATTATGGTCTACAGAGTTAAAAGACCAGGAATATAATCAATGGGGCGTGCGATTGGTTTAGTTAGACTCTTAGGTATTAGCGAGGCATAGATTGGGTATTGGAATGGTTCCGTCATATCATTCAACGCCTTACCGGTGGATGAACATCATTGCAAAAATGAGCAAGCAAGTTTCAAACTGAAACGACACCATATTTGCAGTCACCTTGTGAGCAGTGGTGAAAATGGCATGAATCTTTCTAGACATATGAAGTTGATGACAACGATCGGCCACCAATTTCTAGAGTTCAATGTGGAATACGGTGAGATTAATATGTAAACGATGCCTGTGTCCCTGTCACCTCTGCCTGTTATGATCACCAAGGGGATGGAAGAAACTGTGCTCAGTGACGATGTCATAACATGCATTGTACCCAGAAACTGCATCGCAACAAGTCTGATGAAGTGCACATCCAGAATCCCCCTCCCGGTGACGAAACGTATTGTAACTCTCCTGTTCGGAAACACCTTTAACAACAAGTCTGTTTCCACTGATGAAGGTTTCTTAGGATTCACTCTGGATCAAAATCCAGCACAGGATGTGGCTATTGTTTTCTTCATCAATCTTATGATCCAATTGAATGATGTCGTATCAATCAGGTGACCTAACCAATTACAAATGGACTAGAAGTCGCCACTGATGGCACGCCGACCAGAGGTCCTCACCGTCGTTACACCAATGACGAGATCTTTTTCCTGGAACAGTGATCACAAGCTACACCAATCAGGGACAATGTAATGGATGTCATCCTTATCAGTAGATTTGATCAGTTTCTTGTCAATCAATCGACTCGGTTGAAACTGTGACGTTGAAGAAGACCTCGTCATTCGTCCCACCAATTAGGAATTTCGACCAATCTGATCAAGACACCTCCCCGATGACTACCACACTAGGAGAACGATGTCTCTGCAGCACCATCTGGTTTGAGTCTCGTGTGTACGTAACAAACACAGCCACACGGTTCAGGTTGTAGATACCCGGCTTGCTGAAACAAGCCGACAGTCGCACTGCGGCCTGCTGCTCCGGCTCCAGACGCAGCTGTGTAATGGTCTGTCCCACCCAGTTAAAGCTGCTGTTATGGTGGTACTCTCCTGAATGATCGTACAAGGAAGCCTCATTTGACTTGCTGCTCAACCTGTAAAACAGTAAAATCATATTACCGTATTTATCCTCCAATAAGCCCAGGGGCCCAACACGTAGCTTCTGACTCAAGGTAGGGAGTGGGCTTATTACAGGACAATGAAATATTATTTGCTGGCAATTCTAATGAACTGCAGTAATTAGAACTGCATGGGCTTATTGCCGGATAAATACGGGACAAAATGGCTTGGTTATCAGTTTATAAGGTTTACGATATGTGTAAGGTATGTGTGCTGGAGGCGGTTTGTTGATGTATTTGACTCCTTGTGATAGCCTGGATCTGGTGCTGACTTTATAGTGCTACCTCACTGAAATAACATGCTGAAGGTCGCGGGGTGGAACAATATACGCCCGTCGAATTCCATATAGTTATATACTTTCTTACATTGAAATAAGATCTGTATAATTCAAAGAGTGGTTAGCTGACATGCTATCAAAATGTAGGAGAAAATCTCCCGATAAAAAAAATCAAACACTGAAATGAACAAAGGGCAATAACTTTTGCAAAAATTGTTGAATCAAAATTCTTTTCAAGGAAACACAACAACATATCATGATTATTTAGCCTACTAAGTTTCAAAGAAATCTGTCAAAAAATGTAGGAGGAGATCTCCAGACAAAAATTCAAATACTGAAATGAACAAAGGGCAATAACTTTTGCAAAAATTGTTGAATCAAAATTCTTTTCAAGGAAACACAACAACATGTCATGATTATTGAGCCTACTAAGTTTCAAAGAGATTCTTTGAAAAATGAAAAATATTTGTAGCTACTTTGAAAGATTGATATAGTATGATCAAATTGACCTTTGCAATTGACCTAAAATCCCCAAATATCATTATCCAGAGACCCTTGTTTATTCAGTTTGTTTAAAAATAGTTTTCTCATATTCTGATTTTATTGCTCAATAGGACATATGTGAAATAAACGACTTTGTGTGAAATAGTTTGTTTGTTTGTTTGTTTAACGTCCTATTAACAACAAAGGTTATTAAAGGACGTGCCTCCATGTGTGTAATGTATGCCTGCTTGTGTGTATGTGTATATGTGTGTATGTGTGTAAGTGTGTATGTGTATATGTGTATATATGTGTGTATGTGTGTATGTGTGAAAGTGTGTATGTGTGTATGTGTATATGTGTGTATGTGTATATGTGTGTATGTGTATATGTGTGTATGTGTGTATGTGTGTAAGTGTATATGTGTATGTGTGTAAGTGTGTATGTGTGTAAGTGTATATGTGTATGTGTGTAAGTGTGTATGTGTGTAAGTGTATATGTGTGTATGTGTGTATGTGTATATGTGTGTATGTGTGAATGTGTGTAAGTGTGTATGTGTATATGTGTATATTTGTGTAAGTGTATATGTGTATATGTGTGTATGTGTGTGTGTATGTGTGTATGTGTATATATGTGTATGTGTGTATGTGTATATGTGTATATGTGTGTATGTGTGTATGTGTATATGTGTATGTGTGTATGTGTGTAAGTGTGTATGTGTGTATGTGTATATTTGTGTATGTGTATGTGTGTAAGTGTGTGTATGTGTATATGTGTGTATGTGTATATGTGTATGTGTGTATGTGTGTATGTGTATGTGTGTAAGTGTGTATGTGTATATGTGTATATTTGTGTATGTGTGTATGTGTATATGTGTGTATGTGTATATTTGTGTATGTGTGTATGTGTGTAAGTGTGTATGTGTATGTGTGTATGTGTGTATGTGTATATTTGTGTATGTGTGTATATGTGTGCACTTGTGTATGTGTGCTGGAGGCAGGGTATGTTGATATATTTGCCTACTTGTGATGGGGCAGATCTGATGCCTACTTTAGAGTGCTACCTCACATGCATGCTAAAGGCACTCAGGTCAAATTATACTGATAGCAGATGAATCCAGTCCCTGCACTTTACTTAACTGCTGACCATTAAGCAGGGAATAACTACCACCACTTTTAAGGACTTTGGTATATCATGGAGTATACTGTATTGGTAGATATTTTTACAAATGTTATCATCATCATACTTACATGGTTAGAATATTCAGTTTCATTTTTATTTGAGTCACCAGATAAAATATAACAAAACTCACTTTAATTGTATCGTTTATCGAGTCCAATACTACATTTAAAACCGTACATTATTTCTACGGCACCATGTACAAACCATGGGTTATTTATACGTTACCATGTATAAACCATGTGATATTTCTACATTACCATATACAAACCATGGGTTATTTCTACGTTACCATGTACAAGCTAGGCTGTTATGTCTATTTCAGACGTACCTGTCTGGAGATTGACTTGTGTCCACAAGAACGTCCAGCATCACTTTTGAGCAATTTTGTAGAAGTAATGTCACTGGCACTTGGCACAATCTACGAATATTCATAAGATACATTTGGATATTGGTCAGAAAAAAACTTCCCATACATCACACATCAACAGTGCCAAATACCCTATGTTTTGCAGTATGATATAATTTTTATAATATCACTTTTATAATAAAATCTCAATAATAGCACAATTGTCTCCCTTTAAAACAACCAAATCAAAGTAATTTAAAAAAAAAGACATTAAATCATCTAATTTTTACTAGGAAATTTTCAGCCACATCTTTTGTTTTTTATTTCTCAAAATTGAACAAGAGAGGAATTCAAAAAGAATTAAAAACCAGTAAACATATACTGCAAATAAACCAAAGCTTTCAATAGTACAAATTTAACGAAAAAATCCTTTTTGAAATTTAAGACTGAAATATTTTGGCAAAATGTTACAGTTTTGTTTAAAATTCTGAGAATATTGTTATAACCATTATCATACAAGATTTATATTTAACCCTTTTTAAATTTAAGAAAATTACTCAAAGGTAAGGAGATTAAAATATATATCCAGTGTTATTGTCATAATAAAAGTCTCCAAGCTGAATATTGACAATTTTTCTTACCTTCCACTGGAGAAATTATGTTTGACCTCTGACCTATGGTTAAAGTTGAAGTCAATCAGCTGTGTTGTGACCTCTGAGTCGGGTGTGCTCGCCTCGGCTTCGAGATCCTTCATCACAAACCTGACCACTGGCTCTTCTGTCGGGATCTACACAGGAATAATTGGTTGATGTTTTCAATAAACATAGCTTGATTTTTAACCAATAGCTAGTATTTGGGTTTTTTTCTTTACATTTAAAGGTATTGAATACAAGAGGCCCAAGGGCCTGAGAAGTCACCGGAGTTATATTATGGGTACTGGTAGTCAATTTCATTGTAACTCTTCAAAACCAAGTTTGAATTATTTCTTGCTGAAAATGGACAAGTTATAGTCAGAAGTGTTATTTCCCTATATAAACCAAGGAGAACAGATGACCAAACCTCAGGTGACCTAAAAATTCCAAATTTTGCTGTTTCAAGTTAAAACCGATATCAATATTTCAGTGGAAAACTGAAAAGTGATACTGTAAAAGAGGAAATTTTGACAGTGTGGAAACGGTTACGTTTTTTCGCATATTCATAGATTTTCCACACTGCAATCAGTCAAAAGAGTTGATCGTAACATGAAGATTTCAACTTTTACACAGTAGCTAGGTTTAAAAGTAATCAAAATCAATTTCCCTTGTATCTGATCTTCTCAACATTACTTCAGGCCAAAAATAATCCCAATATTGCGTCAATATTTTGACAACCTCTCGTGTATTAAAGTATTGTTTCGTACTCACAAGAACATAGGGATACGAGGTGAAGATGTCGTCAATTTTCTCTATGGTCACATGGTGTTGACCGACCCTGATTTGAACTTCTCCGTCCTCGTTGACTACACATGCCTGTGGATAGACAATAAAAATCAGTTTTTAGATTTTGGTTCTCCCATATCTGCTACATGCTTCTCCATTCCTGAATAAACACTGGATAAACATGCATGGGGGTGGGTAAACAAACCTGGGAATGATTTCTTAGGCCAGTCTTTTGTTTAGGCCAAAAAATATGTATGTTTCAGGTAACATGACTGAAAAAAACAGGGTAGGCTGGCCAGGATTTACTTCTATTTTATTTTTCTGATGGGGGAGGTGAGCTAATTTAAGAAATTACGAAAATCACAAAATATATTTTTAGGTCTTTGAACTAGTAATATTGGATTTCAATTTGGTTTTGATACCTGCCTATGAAGTAAAGAGGGTTGCCTTGTTTGTTTGTCCATCAATTAGTCTGCATCCAGTGGACAAGTTATCCCAACACTAGATGGAGTGCATTTGAGCAAGATAAAATTGTTACTGTCAGAGGTAAAACCTAAGGTCTGTCAGGGTACTTGAATCCTACATTTTTCTTTATTTTTTTTGCCTTATAAAATCCCACCACCATGATTTGTACAGATATCTTCAATTGGAATGTCAAGATTCAACTACTTTCTTTACTGGCTAAAGTTCTCTGTTTGAACGATGATTGTTTGATTTTCCCTTCAATGTAAATTGTAAATATGAGGTCTTTTACTTGGGAAATGCAGAACAGCTGTACTTTACTTACAAACATGCCAGTTTTTAACTCATTCACCCCTAGACTTTGAACTGTACTTGCCCTGTCTTTGATTTGGTTAAGTTCAAATCAGAATTTAGGGGTTAATGGGTTAATATCTTTCATGAGGAAAGGCACCAATAGAGATGTGACCTTTAGGCTTGGGTCAGAGTTCACGACCAATCCATGGATCAACAACTACAATGCTTTGAAGTACGATCAAGATCCAGCCAAAGCGTACAGATTTATGGCTGGACACAATTTTAGTTGTCGATGCTTTTGCTTGACCTTGAAGATATATATGACCTTGAGTCAAGGTCACAATACATCCATAGATCCTGGGCAACAATGCTGTAGAATATCATCAAGGTCCGTCCCAACGATACAGAGTATGGGCTTGGACCTATCCATTATACTGTGGACAACTGGACAGGAGGGTCCACCTCTTTAATAGTATAATGTTTCATCCTTACAGCCTTAAGGATACTAGCAAAGTTGGTTGAAGTCTGATCAGTAGTTTGGGAGGAGAGGCCGTTTAAAAGCGGACAAAGCGTTAAAAGCACATACTTAGCGTTCTTAGTACTTCACAATTCTGTTAAGCAGTTTAGAAGGAGACGTCCCTTGCAGGTGAACGAACTGTCACAACCATATATACTTGGCGTCCTAGTACTTCGCAACTTACTTTCCACAGAATGACGAGTGTGAAGCCCACTTGTATGGCACAGTTAATGTCTGTGAACTCTTGCGGCTTGCGTCTGCTATGAGACGTAGGGACCTCTGTGTCTGGATCCAGGGGCTTAATACTGCATTTTGATCGGAAGAAAAAGTCTGCACACGGCGTCAGTGCACTGCATATCTAAAAAAGGAATAAATAAACAAACAAGTCAAGATTATTTTCTTACAATGTCAATTTCACATTTATTCTAACTTTGGTAAAAGGCGACATTTTACACAATGCTCTATATGACAGCTTTGGTTTAAATGAAACTCGATAGAATTAAAATCTGATTATAATGTTATCAGTAAGGACTACTTCGGTTATACAACTGGCTTTTGATATTTTCTATGTATAACAGAACTGTTGTTGTGAGAGTGTTTGCCTATTCCGTCTTTGCGTATTGCAGTGTTATCTTCTCTTGTGACCAGGTATTGATTGTTACGTCATTGGTTTGTGTGGGAAAATTACGTCGTTTCTCAAAAATTGATGACGTTACTCTCACAAACAAATAACGTAACAATCAATACCTGCTCACAAGAGAAGATAACTCTGCAATACGCAAAGACGGAATAGGCAGTTCAATGATGCAATTATCCATGAATACAAAACTGCATTTCATACGATCAATTCTTAAATTTTCAATCTTCATTTTTTTGTTGTTGATTCCCTGGTTACTCTTATTCCACAATTTCAAGCATTTGGTTGGGTTTGATTGTGTTTTACGTCCTATTAACAGCTATGGTCATTTAAGGACGTGCCAGGTTTTGGTGGTGGAGGAAAGCCGGGGGCTCCCGGAGAAAAACCAACGACCAACAGCCAGTACCTGGTGACTGCCCCACGTAGGTCTCAAACCTGCGGCCTAATGGTGGAGGGCTATGGGTAGAGGGCTAGTGGTAGAAGAATGTCAGATGCCTTAACCACTTGGCCACCGCAGCCACTTCAATATCAAGCACCCACAAAATGGTAGGGTTATTTCTTTTGGAATTGAGCTCTACAAAAATACCTGATTTTACGGTACAGAACATTTTTTAACATTTACATATAATTCAAAGGAAAACTGAAGTTAGGTACTATATATACCTTACCTGTTGTGTATCAAAAGGAACATCACTGAACACAATCGACTCTTTACCCATAATGGTATCTGTAACACAATAACATCAATCTTCAGCATGTTATATACCTACACTCATCAATACATGTAGTGTAGGGGCTGATCTTGACCCCTGATATACTGGTACACTGTTTCTAGATCTCTCGGTTTCATATTTTTTTTTTTTTTAGATCAATATAAATTTGATTATTTTTTAGATATTCACCAAGAATATTCTTCCTTATCTTTTATTTCAAAAATTTAATCCTCCCAGCACAATTTAGATATGGATTGAAAAATACTTCTTTATGTAATAATAACTGTATGTATTAAATAAAAACAATTAAGGCTTTGCAGACTGATATGATACGCCACAAGACTTCTTATATCTTTGATCCTTACAAGCAATCACAAATAATTTTGTCAGATGGGGTCATCTATCAGAACTTGTCATTTATTTACAGGCAAACATCCTTCACAAATGACTTGATTCAGTAGTATTGCAGACCGCCTTCAGACACAAAATTTGATATAGTTACCTAAGTTTGTTGAACTACGGACAGCTTTCAGACACATCTGTGATATAGTTACCTAAGTTTGTAGAACTACGGACAGCTTTCAGACACAACTGCATGGTTTCCCGACTACCAATCTGTATTTCTGACTTGATGTGTTGAGAATTGAGGTACTGTATAGACCATTCCTCACTGGCACACGACACCTGGTTGATCTGAATCTCTTTCACGTACGCCCGCTGACTCTGGATCTGTAAATATTCCAAAACTGGTTATTTTGTTGCTTTAACAACTAAGAGACCACAGCTTCCATTAGAAGTATCTGGACTGTTAAGTTAAAGGGTATCAATGCAGTTATTAAAATTAAATGCAAAGATGAGTTCCCATTTAAAGCTGGGGTTTTATTCTAACCTCAGTATTGTTTCGAGGTAACAAAACGATTTTTTTCTGTTTAGAGTTACTTCCCTTGTCAAGGTGTTTATCTCTCATTTTGATGCTATGCATTAATTATTTCTGCATATCTACATTAGTAATTTGAAGGCCTGACACTGGATGGTCCCAAGTCTGGTCCTTATACTGTCTTTATCTTCATTTTCAAATCTTAAAATGCAAAAGATTTGTATAATCCTATATTCAACATAAAAAGCAAGAAGTAATGAAACAATTCTGAAAACGAGACTTCAAAAATCTTTTCATGACAGTGACAATATATTTTAAATTAATGGAGCTCCTTAACTTATATCTGTTTCACTGTATAGTTCAATCCACCTGGAGTTGTGCTTGAATATAATACATGTTTATATAATTAGTTCATAAACAGAGTTTAACTTACCTGACTTAGATTTTCTAGTTCACACATGACAACACAGGAACCTCTGTGGCCGTTTGGATGTGAGTTTGTGTTGTTTCCCCGGTGCGCGATAGCCCGCACACTCAGCGACTCTAACGTATTTACTACTGCTGTGTGGCGTAAAAGTCTATGGCTGGAATACAAAATAATGTGGACTTAAATTGAAAACCTTCGAAAACACAGTTTTTTTTTTATCGGATTCTTATTGAATGTATGGATAGAAAATGACATAATAAAAAAAATATCAGATTGCTTCACTTTGTATTTTGCCTCTGTTTGATTTAAAATTTTAAATATGTTTAATGTTATAGCTCAGACAAAATTTTGCTCAGATAACTTTGAGGTCAAGTTCATAGTGACCTCATTACAATGCAATGAACACCTTCAGTTGGTGATGCAGGTATAAATCAAGTTTCATCAGGATACCTCTCATGTGCGATTTCTCAGAAAGTAAACAACCATAGTTGAACATCTTTATTGTTGAAGTTTTGTTTTATAATTTAGAATGACTAACAAATAGCAAAAACAAGATGCATAAGATATTAAATAGCATTTGGTCCCGTTTCATATCAACAATGACTGTTTACTCAACTTTTTGATGAATAATTTCTACCTTTTATTGGTCCTAACGACCTCTTCTGTGTTGATCATATAATATCAATAAGTGTAAGTATAATATGTAATTTTTATGTACACTTACCTTATATTAGGTAGCTTTTGCACTGGTTCGTAATAAAACATAAAGTGAATCTCATGAATTCCGCCTATGTCATTTCCCCGTATCCAGGCGGGTATTGAAATTGTACTTTTTGGCTGAAGAGTTCCACTAGGTAGACCAATGTCCACAACCCGCGTAACACTCACGCTGTCTTTAGATATAGAATTGCACATACATTCACTGTCACTCACACCAACATCCATAGCTGTTTGATAAACACACGGAAATTTCGGAAGTTGTCCATGGCAACCGAGAGTAAAAAACTCGGGTGACGTGGAAGCGACTTTGAGTCTGTGAAGGGGACTAGAACCAACGTTAGTAAACTGTAACATCACAGCATGCACTTCGCCACACAACAATGTCCGAGGGAAATTGCAAAACGAGACCTGTAAATGCAATTTTTTTTTATTGAATTATACATGCCATTTTATGTTGCCAAAAGTGAGATTCTCCACACCCTCCTCCCCCTCAATTTCTCTCTAAATTTAACATGCAATGGCTCTTCTGAATTTTTTTATATAGACTCATCATTGCTAAAAATTGGCCCAACGCTCTCAGCTTCCAAGATCAAGATTTTCCCTGAGGGTTCCTGTCCTACAACAGTAAAAATACTAAAGAATTCGGCTGTGCTTTTTTGTACATAGAGTAACCTCCCCTTAATTTTGTTTTTGCTATGACTGTAGCACAGCTGATCCAGATTACTTCTATTTACCAGGTAGCTAGTATAATGGTCTGAGGTCTGTGGTTTCAATCCTGGTCTTGCCCCAAGGTATTGATACACTCGGAACACTGTTGTTTTTATTTTGTTAATTTCATCGTCATACTGTTTTCCACAAGATTGGGTTTTCTTTTCGGAAATGATTTCTTAATGTATTTGTCCGTCCACACAACATGACTGCCACCATTACCCTATTTATCCACCAATAAGTCTGTGCCTGGTAATAAGCCCATCCATATCTATTAGAGTTCATTAAAAATGCAGACATATTCTGTTTCATTGTTCTTTGATAGCCCAGCCCCCTGCTGTGTGTTAGAAAATATGTGTTGGCCCCCCGGGCTTATTGCAGGATAAATATGGTACATTGTCGCACCCAATAAAATCAACCCCCTGTATACTATCACCCCAATACTGACCTGCAACAAGGGCATTTCCTGTTGTATGACCAGATCTAGCCGCCGATCTGGTCCATACACCTTTTTTGCCTTGTCTTCTTTGGAGATGTTGAGACGCGGCCCCTGAACCTCCAGCTTTTGTTTACCACGCACAAATATAGTATTGGACATGTTTGGTTTGGGACCATTTCCCTCGATCAGCACCCCTCCCAGGTTGTATGATATCTCAACAATCCTCAGCTCGCCCGTCTGGTGAGGTGTCAAAGTGATCTGAGTCTGGAAAACAAGTCACTGCACAATTAAGTCTCTCTCAGAACATTTTAAACATAGAACAAGAGACCCAAGGGGCCTTAACGCTCAAATGAGATTTTTGACCTAATTTAATGGAGAAATGATGAACAAAAAGTGTGAAGAGACACAAAAATTCAAAATAAACTTTCAAGTGGCCATATTGGATTTCGAATTAGCCCCAAAATAACAAGAATTGGTCAGACCATGTACTGAACATATTCGTTTCCACTAAGGTTTAATTAAAGCAAATAGCAATAGCTTGCTTCTTTCATTTGTGAGTAAAAAACATTAATTTGCGAAATTCATCGAAGTTATCCAGTGTAGCTTGTTAAACTGTCAACTGTTGAACCTTGTCTAAGCCAGAAGGATAAGGTGACAGTATCGGATCACCAAACTATCATTTCATTAAATCATTGAAAAATCTGAGGAGTGATTATATTCATTTATGGTTGTATCAAAGGAAGAATATCGATGGGTGTTCTTACAAACAAAATTAGCACCCGGGGCTCACTTGATATATTCATAGAACGCGGTGAAGTCACCAATCAGCGTCTCCGGTTTTTGCAAATGTCGGGACCCAAATTGGATCAAGGCTTGAATTTTGCAGTATCTTATGCTTCAAATGAATAATTTTTTGTCAGCATATTAACATTTTATGTAGACCTTTAGAATTTATATGACAAAAAGCATTTCTAAAGTGTGAATTTATTCCTATAGCCCAAAACAGAATACTGGTCGTTGCACGTGCCATTTTTTAAAAACGTAATCAAAACACTGACATTTTAGTTTGAATTACGTTTTCTTGTGCTATTTGAACTTAAAAACTTATCTTCTGTAGACAATAAATGGTGCATGGCTATCTATTCTAAGACTACATCATTGTTATAACTGATTTGTTGACACATTTATTTACCTATAAGTATTTTTGCAAAACGTTATCTGATTTGGGTACTGGTTCGATTTTGATACTGTCTCCTATACATTGATGAGAGACCTCAGTTGTTCAAAGCCTCTTAAAATAGATATCCATTAATGTTTCACACAAAATTTGTCGAGACCTCAAACGCTTGTACATTTGTAGCAACAAAATAGTTTGAAGAAGTCGATCCATGAAAGCGAGTATTCAAAAAAGTATGATATGTTATATAAATATGAAGATATATAAAAAAAAACTTGGAAGGGGCATAAAGGGATATAACTTCCACTGACCGTCAATTTGGTATTTGCATCCATAATGATTTCGTCAATAACCTGCGTTTGTATTATTTCATTAGCCAAGGTATTCTGCAAGAAAGAAAGAAAATGTATCAAAATTGAAATTAAATGTTTCAACTCTGAACTGAGTCAAATGAGTGCGTCTTGAATGATATTTTGCAAAATTGAACATTTTCAGAAAGTGAATTAGAATTTCAAATTTCTAATAACTATTTTGAAACAATTAAGATGGTTCAGAAAAGTATTCAGGTAATATCTCATGAAAGTAAAAAATAAACCACCCCATACTGATAGGATCAAGTAAATATAAAATTTTGATAAGATTTGAGACATTTCGCATCACAAGCAAACAGCCGTGACGTCACCATGATTACAAATAAAGTGAGTATATTGTTTACCTTAACGGAGGTTGACGACACCTCGTTGGTGATGAGTTGGGCTTTGTCTTGGCCCGGAAGTGTGGGAAGGAAACTCCATAGCAACGTGACCTCCGTTAGCACTAACATGACCTTGAGAGGGTTCACCAGGTACACCTCCACAATTATAGGCTCTGTACAAAATCAATCGGACAAAGTCAGCCGACCGTTGAGAATTTTCAAAGCCTGTAGTGATATCATACATGTGCTGTAAATGTTTAACTCATTCACCCCTGAAATTTCATAATGAACCATTCCAACCTTTGAATTGGAAGAGTTCAAATGTGTTTTCAGGGGTAAATGAGATGATTTCCAATTTGGTTTGGCTTAAAATCCTTATATCTTTTACCATTATTTTCCAAGAAAGACCCTTTCATGAAATTATCCACTTTCCGCATGAAACTTGATTGTCAACTATTTGCTTATACAACAATGAACAAGTTTGTATATTGTCCATCAGTAGATTTTGAAAGTATGTTTGACTCCCCAAAATGAGTTTTGACTCTTATGTTTGTAAGGACAGGTCGACTTTACGTGTGTTTTGACCTTCCTTAAAACAGAAATAGAAACAAACTTTTTTGCATCCTTGCTATGGGAAAAATTATCTTTGCATTACACTAAAATTCTGAAAAAAGGTTTCAATCCGCCAAAAGGCTGGAAATTTTCATCTCTGTTCAAATTTTAGTGAATTTTTTAAATTATTTTCAAAATTGCTACACGTCAAGAGTAAACTGAAAGCTCTAGGCCTGTATTCATGAAACGGTTCTCATGCTAAAGCTTGGATTCTGTGCTCAAACCAGTACTCTAGTAACCAATTAAATCATGCCAAACAATCAAAAAGTCAAATGTTAACATTGAAAACAGTATTCGGTGCTGAGTCTCTTCAAATGTTTTCCAAATCTTAGACAAAATAAGATATATTTTTTTTCATTTTTTACCCCCACATTTTTTTTTCAAATCTGACCCCAAAAACGTACCTGCGCACTATACCCGAGTGCACACTATACCCGCAAATTGACGGTAATTTATAACCAGAACAAGAAATCAGGTTTCAGCACAAAATCCATTCTTGAGCATGAGAACTGTTTCATGTTTACGGGACCTGGACACCTTTGAATATTCATCAAAAACGTTTGTATGTACCTCCCACAAAGCCGACAGGACTGTATTTGTTATCCGTTCTGTTAGTGTAACATTGAAGAGTAGATCGGAATGTATTGGGCAGACTCCCCATAGCTGCGGTCACTAATGCCTCTTCCAGTTTCTGCCAGCGGGGGTGATTGCTCTCCTTGTGGTCGAACCACACCCCGGACGTAGCTACTTTGTCAGGAGCTGTAGACAAATCACATTATTTCAGTACTGCGCGTTATATATTTCTCTTCAGCTAAAAACATACATGGTCTGGTGATATTGTTGAGGGATACAAAACATACCAAACCCGAGTACATAAAACTTGATTAGACCATAATACCATCTACAGAAAACCGTAACAGTAAATGGAATAAAACAGATATGATTACCTGAGAGATTACATTACATCAGCTTACAAACTCTTACAAAATATCAATCAAAAATTATTTACAAAGTCATGAAGGAATTTTTACAAGAGCAAGTTCTGAGTAAAATTACTTGAAAATAATTTATGTTTAATTCAGTATATCTTGCATAAATGAGAGTCAAATATGTACTGAGCATATACCAATATAACTGATATGACCCTCGTCTAGCGGTGGGCTTATTACCAAGCATGGGCTTTTTGCTGGTAATATACTGTGGTACCGTACCTTGACTGGGCTGTGGCCTGGCTCCCAGCAGAACCTTGGTAGAATTGATGTCCAGAACTGGGAGGGGTAACTCTGGCAGAGATCTGGACGGGTGGCCATACTCTCCAGCCTCTTGACTCAGCAATTGCTGCAAAACACAAACAGTTGATATCACAAACACACATTTTACAGACTTTAAGCTAACATTACAAGCACAAAAGATAACCCTTTGAAACAAATCAATACATGTCGCGTTAACTAGATCATGAAACATATGCTGCCAGCTGCCACTGCAAATAATTTGCACTCAATTTCAAACATTTTATTTCTTCCTAAATAACTGTATACAACTATTAAACCTGTACTTACAGAGTTAGAAATTATTTAAATCTAACTTGTATTGAAACAGATATTTTCTGAGGAAGTTTCCCTGATAATTGGCCATCCCCAGGTTTAGGAGTCAAACTTGGTACAGTAAACAAACAGTTATTTCCAGTGGAAGATAGCTGTCTTGGCTGGCTATTATTCCCAGGTTAGATGGGAGGGGGCTTACAATATGTCGACTTATTGACAGGTACTTACCTTATAAACAAACAGGTATTTCCAGTGGAAGAGAGCTGGCTTGGCTGGCTATTATTCCCAGGTTAGAGGGGAGGGGGCTTACGATTTGTTGTCTTATTGACAGGTACTTACCTTATAAACAAACAGGTATTTACAGTGGAAGATAGCTGGCTTGGCTGGCTATTATTCCCAGGTTAGAGGGGAGGGGGCTTACATTATGTCGACTTATTGACAGGTACTTACCTTATAAACAAACAGGTATTTCCAGTGGAAGATAGCTGCCTTGTCTGGCTATTATTCCCAGGTTAGAGGGGAGGGGGCATTACGATATGTTGTCTTATTGACAGGTACTTACCTTATAAACAAACAGGTATTTACAGTGGAAGATAGCTGGCTTGGCTGGCTATTATTCCCAGGTTAGAGGGGAGGGGGCATTACGATATGTTGTCTTATTGACAGGTACTTACCTTATAAACAAACAGGTACTCCCTAAGGAAGGCCCCCTGTTGACTGGCTATCTGCTTGCTGTTTTCTGTCAGCAGGTGTTTGAAGGCAGCTGTGGCGTTCTCTAACTGTTTAAGGTTAAACGACTGACGACCAAGAGTGAAGTTAATGTGATCCTGTAAGGAAACCACAAACATCTTGAAAACCCATATCATGCAACCAAAGTAACATTTAAAAAAAACCAAGAAATTGGGAATATGTTCCTCACTTTTTGGTCATTTTGGTAAAAATAAGGCACTTTTTTGCTAGGGGTAAATCACTGAATGACTGTGTCAACCAACTACCCATACTGTATTTGGCATAATAAATGAGTTTACTACAAAAAGGGTTTTCCCCAGAATTCTATAAATATAACTCATATGCTTGTAATAAAAAAAAAATCAGATTTCAGTAATGCCGACATCTATAATTACTTCACTTACCTCCGCCAAGGACCAGCTTTTGCCTTTATACACCTGTAAAGCTTGCGAATAGGCCCGTAAAGCATGCTTCCTCTGCAAAACAAACAACACAATACCTATTTATAGTCAGTCTGAAATACCTGAACCCAGGGCCCGTTTTCATGAAATCGTTCTCTAGCTCAGACTTAAGATCTGTGCTCAAAGCGCAATTTTTTGTTTCAGCAAACAACTAATAGAAAATAACATTTTGTCAGTGATTTGAATGAATGTTTATGATGTTTTCGATGTTTTTACACTATCACAATGATTTAAGTGAGTTACAATAAAGTCAGTTTGAACACAAAATATTTGCTTTGGCATGTGAACGGTGTCATGAATACGGGCACTGAGCAGGAGTCAGTATCATTCTTAAATGAGGAACTGAGGAACAATGTAAACTGCTCCAAAGACTTCATCTATATATACATACGGTACGTCTAATCAAAATATCCTTAGTTTATTTAACACAGAACGACAAAAAAGAAAAAGTTACCTGAGCCGCCTTGCTGTAGCGATGACCGGCCAGGATCATATGGAAGGAATACTTGCGGACCTTGGGGATCTCCATGTTGATGTAACAGTGGGCCGCTTGTTCCAGCAGTAAGGCGCTTCTCAGGTCGGAGTCCTGGTAAAATTAACATTCAATTTACACGAACTATTTCTTTCAAAGAATCTGATAACAAAATCAAATGTGTTCATAGAGTCTATATTGCATTGTACTCTTTTTTTCAATTATTCAAATTTTGCTAAGTAACAAGTTCAACAATTCTTTTTTTCCTTTTTTTGTAGTGATGTCACGGTTTTGTACAGGTAATCATCAAGGAAATAAATGACAAACTTAATTACCCAACATCAATGACTCTTCAGTAGATGTTAAAACATATTAGATGACACACATTGACCTACATCCTCATTGGTTAAATCATAATCATGTGGAGGCCGGTGATTTGTGATATTGACTTGGTCTTACTATTTTTAGAAACATCAGGTTAATACTCATTTTATGACATCATTTACATTAATTGTGAGGTCACAATGTTATCTGTCAAATACAGTACTTTCTTTCATACAGTTTTCATTCATTACATCATTATTGAGCATCTAATACAACATAAAATACTTTTATTTGAGTAAATGTGTGGTTATATGGATCTAAGAAAGTGATATTGACCTTGACCCCGTTTCGGTCAATATCACTTTCTAAGGTCCATATAACCACATATTCACCTCAACAAAAGTCCATAATTGATCAATAATATAATCTTGTTATGAAGAAATTGTTCGGACCATGATCAGAAATACATTGTTATTAAAAAAGTCTTAATTATAACACAGTGCATCAACACAATAATTTCAAAGTCATGTTTTTTATAACAATTCTGTATTATTGCCTCTTAGTAAGAGTTTTTTGGATGAACAACTAACAAGTTTTGTAAGAGCAAAACAATCTCTTAGGTCTACTGGTGTTTGTTAAAAAGTTGTTTTACTGTTGTTTTCCTACAGATTCCAAACTAATTATTAGCCATATTACAAGTCAGTGTAGTACTTTATGTTGTTATAAAAAAAAAAATTAGGACTGAATCTTGCTTTTGCTGATTTGATATAGGGTGATGAAACGAGCTGGACTTTTAAGACAAATTTATTGAACTGTGAAGCAGTTCCTATAAGATTTGTTTCAACATCAACTCAATTCATAACCCCATGAGGCTAATGAAAGTAATCTTCAATCCTAATATGTTTCAATCAAACCTGTTCGATAATACCTGAAACCTGTGTAAGTCTACTGATAGACACTATAAATATTGGAGCTAGATGTGCAAAACTAAATTTAATAAACTTTATGTTAAAATGAAGCCTGTCATTGAATGTTTGTTGTTATGGCCAATGTCAGAAATAAATCATTCGGAATGCAACTTTTCTAACTGCACCAAACATAAACAGTATATAAAGTATATACTGCGGTTTTCAATTGTTCATATTGTTTATCTAAATAAACACTCCGAAAACTTACTACTTTTGTGACAGATTAATACTGACTGAATGGTGTGAAATTAGACACAAACTCAAACACACCAGCAATGTTAATCTGGTCGATTTCATGGACAAATTATATGAAACAGACATCAGTTGTTAGTTTCATTGAGTCTTGAGTCTAACTTGAGTAGAAATTGAAATTGAACGTGGATGTAAGTATCATTTACAGTTTGTATGCTGGAGATGTGCTGTGTGTTGGTGGGTGTGTGCTGTGCGAGGTTTAGTGGTGCGAGTTGTACCTCGCTGGTGAGCTTGATGAACTGCAGGGCAGCCTCGTTGTACATCCCCTTACTCTTCAGGGCCTCACTGCTTACCAGGGTCGCCCGCGCTGCATATAACGGACTCCTGAAACACACAGCCTCTTGTACATATACTACACATATAACATAAATAATAGATTGTCCATTATATCTCCAAATGAAAAAAAGGTGATTTAGAAGGAGATATGTTACTCAATGTATATGACGGCGGACAAAGATCCAAGACACAAGCTCACTGCGGTACGTTGTGTCAACGTCAGACCTAAAAATAGCTGCATGGACAAGATTTTATCAAGTATGCGGTACATGATAATTGAAATTGTGAAAATAGCCCCCTACAAAAATAGGTTTTACATAAATAGAAATGTAACCATTATCTGTGGAGTTGTCAGTTTAAACTTTAGTTTGCAGGTTTTTAAATTTCTTGCTTTATCTAAAGTAGTATGATGGCGGGGAAAAAAGAAAAAAAGAATAATTAGGGGACAAAAGAAAAGACAGAGTGTTGCAATGGGGAAGTAGATCAATTTTGGTCTCGTCAACGTTCCCCGTTACTTACTTGCATGATTGTAAGTAGGTAGTAATGGCGGACTCCATGTAGTGAGACGGGTATTTCTGTGAGCTAACGGTGCCCTGCATAAACACAGACAGACTCGCCATCTCCTGTGGAGTAAGGTTGAAATTACATCAGTACAGGACCAGCACAATTACCACAGCTGGAATATTTGGTACATAATTTTCCTCCAGAATTTTTAATGTCACAGAAGAAATACTACATTTGATGCTATCTATCCAGTTTGAAGATCTATCTTTCCCAAAAACACAACTTTTGCATTAAAAAGCAGTTTTCTAAAGAAGTGTTTGTTCTTTTAAGTCTTTTTCCAGCATGTGAAACTATTTAATTGATCCCTATAATTTGTAACAATTTTTTTACTGGGCAGACGGTCAAATTAGCGAATTATGAAGTTTTATATAGTTGTGTAACTATAAATAAATTTTCATTGCATGAATTTCATTGATAAGTCTTAATTGGTTGCTGGTATGAATTTCTACCCATACCCACCAGTGCACCAGCTGTGTGCAGCCATGCATGGTCGTTGTTGAAGTCACGCTTGGCCGTGTGGTATGTCTGGTATGCAAAGTCATACATCTGGAAGAGGAAAGCCAGGTCTGCTAGTCGTCGCATTTGTAGTTCGGGCGCTTCCTGCGAGTACCTGTAACAATCACAGAACATTGTGTATTGTCAGAAACATGGAACAAGGTAGATACTGTCAGAAACATGGAACCTGGTAGATACTGACAGAAACATGGAACAAGGTAGATACTGTCAGAAACAGGCACAGAACACTGTATATATCGACAGTGCAGCGAAACTTTAATAGGTTGATCGTCAGTGACCAGGTAGCTCAATTGGTAGTCTAGAGTTTGTAGGGTCCTGGGTTCGAGCCCAGGTTTGGCCGTGCATTTTTCCTCTCCTGTTACTCTTGAGTTTGAAAGGATAATTATGTCCATTTAAGGTTTGTTTTGAGCCTTCAGATTTCAGGGAAAAGATCATTTGACTTCTGAAATTGCTAATTGTCATGGAACAACTGAAAGCCCTGCCATTAACAGAAAAATAATAACTTTGCTGATGTTGGCACTTTTCGTCACACTAAATTGGTATGGTCAAACTACACCAGTCTGGTGTTGTGACTTATTGCCACACTTCACTGGTTTGTCACCTTTTGTCACTTTATAAGTGTTGTCACTTACTCTACACTGGTATCAATACTTAAACTACACAGGTATCAATACTTACAATACACTGGTATCAATACTTACTCTATACTGGTATCAATACTTACTCTACACTGGTATCAACACTTACTCTATACTGGTATCAATACTTACTCTACACTGGTATCAATACTTAAACTACACAGGTATCAATACTTACACTACACTGGTATCAATACTTACACTACACTGGTATCGATACTTACACTACACTGGTATCAATACATACATTACACTGGTATCAATACTTACACTACACAGGTATCAATACTTACACTACAGTGGTATCAATACTTGGTATCAATACTTACACTACACTGGTATCAATACTTACACTACACTGGTATCAATACTTACTCTATACTGGTATCAATACTTACACTACACTGGTATCAATACTTACTCTATACTTGGTATCAATACTTACACTACAGTGGTGTTTTGGTTGGTTGCTGCAGCCTTCTCTGTTGCCTTGTTACCCCCAAACCACTTCTTCGTCACACTGAATATTGACCTAGGAATACCCTTCCTGGACGTCAACTGAAAAATAAAGCACACAGGTCAATTAAATCAGACCAAGCTAGTCTATATGGCAAAATGACTCACCTTGTCACTATGATAAAGTGACCAATCTTATTACTAAGGTAGAGTTAACAATCCTAGTCACTAAAGTGCAATGACCAACGTAACCCTGTCATAAATAAGAATGACCAACCTTGTCAAGAAGTGACCAACCTTGTCAATAAGTGACCATCCTTGTCAATAAGTGACCAACCTTGTCAATAAGTGACCGGTCTTGTCAATAAGTGACCATCCTTGTCAATAAGTGACCAACCTTGTCAATAAGTGACCGGTCTTGTCAATAAGTGACCATCCTTGTCAATAAGTGACCAACCTTGTCAATAAGTGACCGGTCTTGTCAATAAGTGACCATCCTTGTCAATAAGTGACCAACCTTGTCAATAAGTGACCGGTCTTGTCAATAAGTGACCATCCTTGTCAATAAGTGACCAACCTTGTCAATAAGTGACCGGTCTTGTCAATAAGTGACCATCCTTGTCAATAAGTGACCAACCTTGTCAATAAGTGACCGGTCTTGTCAATAAGTGACCATCCTTGTCAATAAGTGACCAACCTTGTCAATAAGTGACCATCCTTGTCAATAAGTGACCAGTCTTGTTAATAAGTGACCAATCTTGTCAATAAGTGACCAACCTTGTCAATAAGTTCAGTGTGCAACCTTATCACTATGATAAAGTGACCTGATTTGTCACCAAGATAAACTGACAAACCTTGTCACAAAGGCATGACCTACCTGTTCATTGATTATAAATACATAAGTTTTTACCTGTCCATTAGGGTCAGGTGATTGACCTACCTGTTCATTTAGGTACCTCATGGACATTTCTGCCCAGGGGATCAGAGCGCGTACACTGAACTCGTGTATAAATATCCGCAGTCTGTCGTGGTCACTAGTGGTCAAACACATCCCGTGCCCACGCACTTTTTTGTCTGGAGTTGTCTGATCTTTGGTGTTATTGCCTGTATGGTTGCTTTCCATGGTGACAGATTCGTCAGGCGACAGACGTTCGTCAACATGGTTGATCGAGTTCGTAGAATGGTCTAGTGACAGAGGGTGGTCGAACAAATCGCTATCGGCCCCGGATCCTGATGATGCTGCTGTAAACATCACAATCACATCTACATGCTATACTGGGGAAAATAAATGTAAACTAGGCTTATTAATAAAATATGAATTATTGATCTAATCAATCATTTTGCTCTCACAAATACCCATTTTCAGTAAAGCGTTTGAAGTTATTGATTCAAACAGGACAGCACCTTACTAAATATTATTTTACTTAATAGTAATTTCACAGTGTTATTTTACATTAGACCATGTTAGGTGAAAACATGCCAGTGCATGAAGTGTTGAATTCATGATTTTGAAGCTGTTGGGTATGTAGCGTGACTTAAAATAATTATAATTTATAATATCCCAAATTTTAATGGTGCCCTATCAGTTTATATTAAAACCAGAGACGGTGTCAAAGCCACCAAATGCTTGCCTGTTTAAAAATGTATCGTCTTTAAAATTTAGTTTGTTGTAAAAGTGTTAAATTGAAAACTTGTCAGAAATTAATTTTTTGAATGTGCCTTTGCTGCAACAAAGGTATAGCCCAAAGGAACCTTCATAACAAATATCAGCATCCTTGTATGCATATTGAATGAATGGCAAGCTTCTAAATAACTTGCAGTTAAAACTTTAACGTTGATGTGCTACAAAAATGTAAAGTTCAAAACAAGTGAAAAAGTGTAAACAATTTGAAATTATCTTTTGATTGCAACTTCACTAAATCAATATTTTACCCCATAGGAACCTTCATGCCAAATATCAGCATCCTTGTACACATATTTAATGAATGATAACCTTCTAAATAAGTGGCAGGTTAAACTTTAACGTTGATGTGCTTCAAAAAAGTTAACTTAAGTACAAAACAGGTTTAATTTAATTCAATTATGGTGACTTCAAATATGATTTGCAAATCGATACATCATGGAGGAAATTTACACCAGTATCATAGCAGATCGAGTTAACCCGTTCACCCCTATGTAACTTTAGTAGACATTTCAGTGCATTGATATGGATGAGTCCATTATGTCTATAGTGGTGAAAATGTTAATACCTTATCTACCACAACTTATTGAGAATCCTCCATATATACTGCATATCTTACAACACTGAAACATCCATGTATCATTTCACAGCTAACTGTCTCGTTCCAAACCACTTGGGATGTCTGCTTTTATGCTGAATTGGATAAGAATGATTTAATGACAGATTAAACAGACCCTCATTGGCATCATAACAAAGATTCAGTGATCAGCGGGATTTGAAATTACTGACCTTCCAATGCTTCGGAGGCTGATTCGACTAATAAGCTGTCGGTGAGCGAGGAAGACTCCAGGGTGCCTTCAGAAACCTTCCCAGGAAATGCCACACCGTCGTCGGTGCCGTTACCCATCGAGACATCGTAATCTGCTCCCTCCTGCAAAATCGCACAGATAATGAAACACTACTTTTGAAAGCTGGATAGTAAGACCTCGCACTTCCGAAGAAGAATTACAAATATATTAGTTCTGAAATTTTAAGACACACTGGTAAAAAAAAATAAGTCTTCAAAGCAAGTTTTTTTGGAACACACTATATGTCTGAATAAAGAAATGTTCTACACATTATCAGCTATATAAGTACTACACATGTACTGTTGATAAATCACCAATAAGAGGAAGGTCTATTCTTTAAATCTCAAAAAAATCAAAATTATATTTACATAAAAATATGACATTCTATTATTTTTAATGAAACAAAAGCACAGTTTATAACTAATTTTGCAATATATATAGCAAAGAAAATAATACTATGACGGAAAAGGAATAGGAAACTAAATGCACATTTTTTGTTCATTTTTCGTGAGATTCACTTTTAGTGTCACATAATTTGTTGCAATAGAGAATGTTTTCAGCCCCATTAACAATGTAAAAATTCATGTTTAACAATAATTTCAGGAAATTTGGAGTGATTGTTGATATATTTATACACAAGAAAAATGCCATTGAATTGTGGTTTTTTTTATAAAATATTCATTATATATACAGTACATTTTAAATGTTAGGAACTGGAAAATCAGAATTTGACACACTACTGCCCTGACTTTTGTTTCTATAGCAGATACAGTATATTAAATTGTGTATACGTAAAAATGTTTAAGCACAGACAAAACAAAAATTGATGATTAGTTCATATTTATAAACAATGAACTTTATTATACCTTAATTTATCTTACACTTTAATGTCAATACATATATACAAATGATTACTGTTTTTAACACACAAAAAAACCCAGTTTTAACCAGATTATTAATTTGTTGCATAATTAATTTACTGTTGTTATATTTTTTCCCCCAAAACCTTAATCAAAATCATGTATAAAAAAAAATCTCAATATTTTATGTTAAAAAAAAATGTGAGAAACAACATCAAGCTATTATTGCAGCATCAAGTCCTGTGCATATCGGCAAAATTTCAAATCTGATGTCTTTTTTTTGTTGCATTTACTCATTCACCCCTGAAATTTCATCATGAACTATTCCAACCTTTGAATTGGGGGAGTTCAGTTGTGTCTTCAGGGGTGAATGAGTTAAATTGTGAAACAGTGATCCCACATATTACAAGTACTGTGTTGAGTACTTGTACTCAGATAAATGTGCGTACTAGACAGAGACAGTTGCGTGTTACGTTTGGCTGTGACACAGTTCAGTATTGGAGAACAAAAATTGAAATGTAAACAGTGAAAAAAAAGTGGGTTAAAGGACTACCGTATGTATGGTTTGGGCCTGTTTTGGCCCCCAAAATGCATCAAAATTCAAAACCTTTAAATGAACTTTGAAATGACTGTTTCTTTAATTTCGAATACTTCCCAAATACTATTATGAAAATATTTATTTATATTTCTAGATAATTTTGCCATGGTAACAAGTTCAAATTTGCATAAATTAGAAAAAAATGAATATTCAGTGAATATTGTGATATTTTGCATAGTTTTTCTCCTAGAAACTATAGAGCGCATGCTTGAACAATCTTAATATCAAAGGACATGTGTAGGCATCTGTAATACATCTTTAGGAGAAATATAAAGTTTGTTCAAGAGTGCGCACCTGGTAGCTAAGAGAAAAACTAGGTGAAAACCTGTCAAAATTGACTGAATAATTAAATTTCAATGATTTATGCAAATATGACCTGGTTACCGTGGCAGCCAAAATTGAAAACACAAATAAATGTTAGCATAATAGTACTGGGGAAGTATTCCAAATTAAAAAAAAACCATTCGTTTGAAAGTTCTATTGCAGATATTTAATTTTAATGGATTTGGGGGCCAAAAAAGGCCCAAACCATACATAGTCCTTTGTCGTGAATCCCCATTTGATGTTGTCTGGTTATCACTCCTTTCAAAAATTGATATGTGAGTTTTTTTCAAATCTCTCTCATTGGAACTTAATTAATCATTGTGCCCATTATAAACAGTAATTTAATTCATTCAAATTTATACCTGTGTAGAACGTTGACACCTCCAAAATAGTACAAATAAATTTAAATAGTTAACCTTTGTTTAAAGACCACCAGTACCTATTAAGACCACCTGTGTATAAGGACCAACAGCCTATGACTATACATGGCTAGATTTATTTTATTTTCAAATTTTCAGTTGGGCTTAATAGTCTCCAATATTACTATTCCATATGCAATTTACACAAACCCAATATGATTCAACAGAATGATTAATATCAAATTTTGACTAGTCAATCGCGCTAGGAGCTTTAAGAACGGCACTAGTCCAGCTTGAGATTTCACTAGTCTCGAACTATCAGGCTAGCCTAGCCTTATTCAGTTATTGTCAAGTCCTACTAACTACAATCATAGAATATTTCAAATGGTGTATTCTGCAAAACTATAAACATTCTCTGAGTATTGTGAAGTCTTCAGAAAGAAGTTTTATTCTGCATAAAGACATACTTAACCCTTTCACCACTGTAGACCATAATGGACTCATCCAGATCAAACCATGGAAGAGTTTACTTAAGTTACATAGGGGTGAAAGGGTTAAGGCATGTTTGCCAATTATTGACTTTCTTTCATACAGGTCCATACAGTGTTCTATGACCAAATATTTCTATCTTTTAATACAGGTCCATTCAGTGTTCTATAGACCAAAGATTTCTATCTTTTAACTAAGTCCATATGAACTACATATTTAAAAATTAAAAGTCTGTAAGTTTCTTAATAGATATATAGATATATAAAACAATATCTATGTATAGTAAAATATGTTGATAATAATAACAAACCACTATGGACTGAACAATTTAGTTTGTTTAACCCTTTCACCACTGTAGACCTTTAGGACCCCTCCATATCATTGCATAGAGAGTCTACTAAAGTTACATAGGGGTGAAAGGGTTAAACCAATATATGTTAGAGTCGGACTTCATCATAAGCAAGAATTCCCAACAAACATGTATTAACCCTTTCACCCCTAAAGTCACATTTGAACCTCACCAAATCAATGACTGGGCAAGTCCAGTTTAAATATGTAGGGGTGAATGAGTTAACTTTCCAAGGTTGTACTCTAATAATTCCTTAATTAATGGATCGCAATAATTAAAGCGTGATTTTAATTCAAATAACTGATTTCAAAGTTTTAGGTTGAGGAAGCTACATAATAAGATAGGCTCCTATGTCAGCCAATTTTCTATTTTCCGCATTTTTAATTATTAGTCTAAATAGTCTTCTCTAAAAGAGATACAGATATATCATCAGATTTGGTCTTGTTTAAAATGTGTTATACTATAGCAGTTAACAGTCAATATTTAACTCATTTACCCCTGAAAACACATTTGAACTCTTCCAATTCATTATGAAATTTCAGGGGTAAATCATGAGTTAAATGATGAAGCGATAGCACCTCTGAAAAATAACAGTCAATTTTTTAACACCAATATTATTCGTTGTAAATGATCAAGTGATATAGCAGCTCCGAAAAAATGACTGGGATAAAACATGTGTGCAATAATGTCATTTCTTTTTCTTTTTCTCCTTCAGAAATTAAGAAAAAAATCTGTTGTTCTAATTACATTATTCAAACAGCAGCTTTTCGTAGAAATAAACAAAATACTATGTATGGTATCTGAACAGATAGTGTTAAGTTGCTTCTGGTAGAATCATTTGAATTTTTGTACGAGGCCAAACAAAAAGTGTGTTTCAACCTTCTCTACATAAGCTCTTACCCAAACCTTTCAGCTAATTAAACAAAAATCCTGTTTCAATCTGAAATAATGTCACGGATTTATCTTTGCTAAAATATATAAAAACAGAAAGAAAAAATGTCTGCCTAGAAACATATCGTAAATTGTTGAGAGCCGAAAGCAGAAACATAATTTTGTTTGGCCTGAGAGTAAACGTATAAAGCATTTGTATGTTGTCACATGCACCATTCAGTTCACGGAACCGACACGTACTTAATATATAACTGATCACATGCTACGAAAACTTAACAGATAATACTGTAACATTGCCTTACAGTAAAAACATAGGAATGATGTAAGCTTGCATGGTTATCTAAAACTTATTTAACATCTAGACCTAGTGTCACAAATGTTCCTCAACTTAAGGAAATGTTTGACTGAAGTATACCAGTATTTTAAATAAAAAAACTGCTGAACATGTCAAGGACCACTTTTAAGCAAAGGATCCGGATCGATCCATTGATAGTGGTTCTATGTTCGTTTCATTCTTGTAAAAATAAATCTATAAAATTTTTGCAAGGTATGGTTTACTTTTCAGAAAGGATTTAGCAAAATTAAAATTATGCCAGCAAGACGGTTTCAAATAGTATTTGGGCTGTGGTAGAAAGATCTTTGAGTCTTCAGCAATGCTTTCCTATGAAAAAGCCTATGTCAAAGGATTTCTTCAAGTAAAAGAATATTTGATAAACAGGGTTGCCAGGCCGATCCTATAACTACATAATCACATTCCAGATTGACAATATCTTGAGCAACTTAAAGTGGAAGGCAGGTAAAACGTAACATATTGCATTGACGTGGAGCATCCAAATAGAAGCTCAAAGGGACGATCGTAGATTTCATATCCCGAATACCGTGTTACAGGATGGTATAGACAATGACTTACTTAAGCTATTCCACTTACTGTAGGCAACGGCTGAGTGTCAATGGCATTTCTGTATGTACATGTACTTCAGGATGCTTCTAATGAACAAGAGGGCCTTATTTAGTATCGCTCACCTGTTTCTTTTGTTACATGCAACTGACATATAGCTAACTTAAGACCATATTTGGTAACTAGAACACAAGACATTTTAACATCTCTTAAATGGTTCTGAAGATATTGTTGTTCGAAACTTGAAATTTTAATTTTAAAGCTTTTAACTCATATTAACCTTTGACTCCCGACTTGCACTTAAAGTTGACCTTTGACCTTATTACTGTAATAAATAAAACAATTCACACAGCTGGTCTACATAACATACGCAAGTATCATGACTCTAGTCCAAATGGTTCTTAGGATATTGTTGTTTGAAGTTTTTAACATATTTGACCCCTGTGACCTTGAAAGTAGGTCAAGGTAATTTTAATGAGGAAACCTTATAGCACTCCATCCAAGGTACCTACTGTCCAAATATCATGACCGTGAGCCTTATGGAATTTGAGAAGAAGATTGTTAAAGCCTTTGACCCATGTTGACCTTTGACCCCAACTTGCACTTAAAGTTAACCTTTGACCTCATTACTGTAATTGAGAAAAAGATTTGCCATGCTGTTCTACATAACATACCCAAGTATCATGACTCTAGTCCAAATGGTTCTTAGGATATTGTTGTTTGAATTTTTCAATGTATTTGACTCCAGTGACCTTGAAAGTAGGTCAAGGTCATTTTAATGAGGTAACTTTATAGCACTCCATCCCAGGTACCTACTGGCCAAATTTCATGACCCTAGGTCCTACAGTTCATAAGAAGTCGTTCAAAAGAAAAAGTTGACGGACGGACGATGGACGCTGCAGTACGGCATAAGTTCACATGGCCCTAAAAATACTGATCTACCAGTAATACCACAAACACATCTACAAACGTAGTACTGTAGAAGTACAAATGTATTTTTTTTACGAGGACTGCGCGTCATGTTACATTATAATACATGCAAAAAGACTGTCTAAATGGCCTTGATCCTATACTGTACACAACAACACAATGTGAAAGCAAATAATCCAATATTTGTTCCAGGAAAGGGACAGGAAGCAAATGGAATGTAAAAAGATTTCAAAAACTCAAATAATTCACGTCTACTAGCAACCCTCTCACCCCTTTGTTTCTGAATCGAACTCGCCAGTAACATAGCTCCGGATCCTTCAACAGTAAATCAAAGGGTAACAGGCTAGATTAGCCACGCTTGTGTCTCATGGTAGAATTCAATTGTTTTTATCACAAATATTACTTTATTGTGTGGTTAAACATATATAGTAAACCCTATCAAACACTTAAGTCCGTAACATTTTAGAATTCACCGCCGTCAAGTTTTTAAGTGTACTGTCCAAATAATTGTCTTAAATAACCTGTCTGTTACATTAACTACTACTGTTGACAAAGACAGGCAATACTTAATTGTGCTGGAATCAAACATGCTGGAACTTAGATATACATCTGAACACCAGTTTTCATTATAAATGACAGAAGCATATCAAAGATAAAAGGTATAAAGGCATTCACATGGTTAAACATCTCATTCTACCATATCCTGTGTCAGCTCAATTTAAATTAGCCTAATCCAAAACTTCAAACAGTAAAATTAAAACCACAATAGTCATTCTTATTTCATTTCTAGAAAGAAGAAAAAAAAAAAAAAAAAAAAAAAAAATAAAAAAAAAAAAAAAAAAAAAAAAAAAAAACATCATTCATATTTTGCATATACATGTACAATGTTTCTCAAAATATACCTCTTTTATCAGCAAAAACTTAAAATCTTAAGCAAAACTTTTTTTTTTCCAATATACTGAACATGGTGATATAAATGTATAATGGTTTCTTTTTGCTGACAAAGAATATAAATCATCACTGAAAATAAACTGAAAATAAACTGATATTATAAAACAGCCATATCATAAAAAAAAAAAAAACTCATTCACGGTCAGGGTACCCAAAGAAGAAAAACATACAGAATGTTTACAGGAAATAAGGAGCGGCGAACAAGCATCAACTAAAACATCATATGTTGAAATAAAAGAGATAATAAAAAGACGAGCAACATAAGTCAGATAGATGAGAACCAAAGCTACGAAATCCACTACAACTTACCCATGCTATGTAATATCTAGCCTTTTGGCGTTTTTTCTGGAATAGAAGGTTTTAGTGACTACAGGGTCTGACAGTTAGTATACACCATACATAGATATCGCCCTTGTATACAGGGTCTGACAGTTAGTCCACACCATACATAGTTATCTCCCTTGTTTGTAGTGTCTAACAGTTAGTCCGCACCATACATAGTTATCTCCCTTGTTTGTAGTGTCTAACAGTTAGTCCACACCATACATAGTTATCTCCCTTGTTTGTAGTGTCTAACAGTTAGTCCACACCATACATAGTTATCTCCCTTGTTTGTAGTGTCTAACAGTTAGTCCACACCATACATAGTTATCTCCCTTGTTTGTAGTGTCTAACAGTTAGTCCACACCATACATAGTTATCTCCCTTGTTTGTAGTGTCTAACAGTTAGTCCACACCATACATAGTTATCTCCCTTGTTTGTAGTGTCTAACAGTTAGTCCACACCATACATAGTTATCTCCCTTGTTTGTAGTGTCTAACAGTTAGTCAACACCATACATAGTTATCTCCCTTGTTTGTAGTGTCTAACAGTTAGTCCACACTACCATATTTATCTCCCTTGTTTGTAGTGTCATAGTTATCTCCCTTGTTTGTAGTGTGACAGTTAGTCCACACCATACATAGTTACCTCCCTTGTTTGAAGTGTCTAACAGTTAGTCCACACTATACATGGTTATCTCCCTTGTTTACATAGTTATCTCCCTTGTTTGTAGTGTCTAACAGTTAGTCCACACCAAACATAGTTATCTCCCTTGTTTGTAGTGTCTAACAGTTAGCCCCACCATACATAGTTATCTCCTTTGTTTGTAGTGTCTAATAGTTAGTCCACATCATACATAGTTATCTCCCTTGTTTGTAGTGTCTAACAGTTAGTCCATACTATACATAGTTATCTCCCTTGTTTACATAGTTATCTCCCTTGTTTGTAGTGTCTAACAGTTAGTACTACCCATAATGAGTGATTCCCATTGTAAACAGAGTCTGAACGAACATTTCAGTGATCAGACAGTACACTCCATATATAGTTATCTCCCTTGTAACAGGATCAGACAGTACACTCCATACATAGTTTTCTCCCTTGTGACGTTATTAGACAGTACACTCCATATATAGTTATCTCCCTTGTGACGTTATTAGACAGTACATTCCATACAAAGTTATCTTCCTTGAATGGTCAGATAGTAAATACCATGCATAGTTATTTCCCTTATATACAGGATCAGACAGTTCACTCCATACATAGTTACCTCCCTTGTATGTTGGGTCTGACTGTACACTCAATACATATTTATCACCCTTGATTACAGGGTCTCACAGTGCACGAGATACATAATTATCTCCCTTGACCTTGTATAAAGGACATGCCAATATAATCCAAAGAGATATCTCCCTTTTATACAGTGTCTAACTCCATATAAAATTTCTGACCTAAGCCCACACAAATGTTTCCTTATTGTTTATCGAAGTCACTCACATTTAAATGTTATGCACACATATGGGATGTTTAATATGATCTACTGCAAGTATTTAAAGAAAAAGTGTTCACACAGGATTACTTCTAAAGAAGGAATTCCCAACCTATATATAGGTATCCATTTAAGATCCATTTCTGAAGATTTCAGATACAAAACACAAGACCGACATTGATGTCGTATACACAACCATCCTTACATAAACAGTCAAACTTTGATGTTGTGAGACCATTGGGTTCAGTTTGGTTTGTTTGTGTTTTACGTCCTATTAACATCTATGGTCATTTAAGGAAGTGCCAGGTATTTGTGGTGGAGGAAAACCACCGACCGACGGCCAGTACCTGGCAACTGCCCCATGTAGGTCTCGAACCCGCGACCCAGCGGTGGAGGGCTAGTGGAAGCAGAATGTCAGACGCCTTAACCACTTGGCCACCGTTGAGACCATTGGGAAAAATTCTAAACATTGGTACTTCGACTCATAAATGTTGGACATCAAAAATCCTCGGCATAAGGCAAATGTTATTCAAGTAATTTCGCTCAATAGCACTCTAATACTGCAGGCAGTCAGGGGGACAGTAACATGTTTACCCATTCCGTCCCATAACCCCTTAGTGGATGCTATTCTCAATTCAAATATTAATCGCATAAGTTTAACATTTGGACAAACTTTATGCAACCTTTCTCAAACAGTCACATGGCATTAACAATAGCAGATACATGTATGGGCAGTTATCCTATATGTATGCAAATTTCAGGCTATTTCACATATAGACATATTTTCAAGATCACAAATATAACCACTGGTCAATTTAATACATGGATAACTCACTCATTCAACAAAAATAAATAAAAAAACTGTTAATATACACCATAACCTTCTATTTTGGTAAGACTCATCTTCGATATCCAGGGTTACGCTCACTTTCGCTCTCTGCACCCCTGGAATATGTCATAGCAGAAGACTAGTTCGACCCTTTGATATTTATCAAAAGAATTTCGCGGTCACTTAACGGTAAAAATTGACAGGCTTTGAAATTGGGCGTCTCTCCTTTGTAATCTTCAAAGGACAGGTATCAGCCTAACGATTGGTCATATTTTTTACCCGAGACCAATCATACAGCTATCTTTAATTTGTGCCTTCAATTTTGCTATGACATATTCCAGGGGTGTAGAAAGCGAAAGTGAGTGTAACCCCTGGATATCGAGGATGGGTAAGGCTATGTGGTGATAACTCAAGTTGAGAAAGATTTATTTTGTCATATAAATTATTTTTCTTGAGCTTTCACCAAAGAACCTCTCAAAACTGGAATGTTGTTGCTGTAGCTATTTCCTCGGTAATGACAACTATTGTACATGTAGCTATATAATAACTGTGCAATGACTTCTAAATTCTACTTGTGATACATGTACAGTACGCAGTCCTAGGCTAGCACTACATATACATACACCTCACTAGATAGTTCTAAAAGTACTGCCTCGCCTTCAGTCCAAGTTGAGATACAATTTCCATATTTGCATTTAACAGTGTATACTTCATTTTTAAATCTAAACCAATTCAAGGAGGCCAATTTTTTTTTTACTTTTAAGTGCAATTGATCATTTTCAATTATAAATCAATTATAAAAACCGAGAATAATGTTCTGACAACACTGGTACCCCAAATTATCCCCAATAACAAAATATTTCAGTGAATCAAATCTAGACTATTACCATTTTTATAATAATACATTTATAGTTATTTTTATAATCTAAATCACAGTCATTTTTACCATCTTCAAGTGCAATTTTTAATTTAAAATATCAATTTCTGAAATCTTGAATAATATTCTGACAGCACCCTTAAACATCCTTACGAACTGAATGTCGCAGGGAATCAAATTCTTGAATATCATCATCTGGGCATACATGGCAACAAAGTTCCTTTTACTGCACACCGAGGGTACGGTACATGTATATAGGGAGAAAATGGGAACCTGTCATTGACATCTGCTAAATATGTTAGTTGCAGAGATAAGAGCTTGCAGCGGATTGAACTAACTTACAAACTCATGATAAATTTACATTGCAACTCATTATTTCTAAGACAATAAGTACATAGTCTACAGATAAATGAAAACCGTTTGATATTGACATTATTGGACTTTTTTTATTTCTTACCTAATGCTATCTTTCCATCTTTCTAAATTGTATTTTAAAGACCAAGGAATAACAAACCTTATTTTTTTATACATTTTTCAAGCTTGAAATGTTCTAAAAAACTTTTTTATAATTATTTATTACATGTTTAGATCTACAAATTTGCTAGCAAAATATGACGAAATTTTGTAAGAGCTTGCTATATGAGTTTTCAGCATCTAATTTCATCTGTAGTAGTAGACACATATTATACATATCTACATGTACTCTTGACAAAAACGTTAACAGTGTTATGTATACAATGTTGCTATAGCTAGTCTGGCAATATTGTATGTGGAAGAAATACCTGTTTAACTCATTCACCCATGAAATTTCATAACGAACTATTCCAACCCTTGAATTGGAAGAGTTCAAATGTGTCTTCAGGGGTGAATGAGTTAAGAATTAAATCATAACATTTTAATTAAGTGAGATTTTTTTCCAGTATTTAAATGGATTCTAGGAGCAATTGATGTTACTGGTAATCTAAACACTTGCTTGTTAAAAGTACTTACATTTCAACTTTGCATATAGAATATTATTTTTGTCCAGGGTAAATACACGGGTTAGCACGAGCATTTTTTTTTTAAGAGTTAGGTCTGCAAGCCGGTGTTTACATTTCATATCATACAGGACATATCTTGAGATACCAAGCACTTTTTTGATTTCGTTCGATATATGTACAGGATCAAAGTAAACACAGATAATAATATATAACACAGAATTAGTCAAAGCCTGCAGACTTACGTTAGAGTTATCCACGGGTTTGCTGAGGAACTGACTCCAGGGGTCGGGCAGGTTACTATCCGTCTTCATGCTATCAGCCACCTTGATACTGCGGGAGTTGATGTGTAGGAGATGACAGCCACTAGCTCCGTAGGTCGACTTCATGCTTTGGTAGATAGATTCAGCTCTGGGTAGTGGCAAAAAGTGCGAAAAAAACCCATTTTAAAATATGTAACTGGAATGAATAATAATATACCAAATTGGAAAATGTAAAAGAAAATTTAATAAGTCTTAAATTATATGAATATTGATGAACATTCAATAAGCAGAATTTAAAATTATCAACTAAAATACCACGAAACAAAATTAATACGGGGTGACAACCAACATTCCTCTATCACAACAATCATGCAGAAAATTATCGGAGATTATTTTTCAAATTACTTTTACAGCTAAAGTCTGTCTTAGATTCCTCTCATGAAAATTCCTGGAAACAGAACTTGATATCTTAGCCTATATGGACCCTTAGCATGTTCATGACAATTCAATAGGGATGTCACAATATATATCGGAAAATCGGTACATCTTGATACAGAAATGAAAAATCGCTGTCTAGCAGTATTTTTTCAAAAACTTCATTTTATGCGTCTGCTCGGTGTTTTTACTTGATCAATTGCCACCATAATAACCAGTATACCTGGATACAGAAATGAAACATTGCTGTATCGTCATTTTTATCAAAAGCTTTTTTTTTATGTGTCTGCTCAATATTTTTTATTTATCAATTGCTAAACATTCTAGCAGATATGCCAATAACCGTAAACAGGCTTTTACTAGTGGTGGGAATTAGCCAAGATTTCATAATTTAACAAAAATTAACAAAATATCTTAAATCTGTGCAATCCATATAATATATGAGTCAGTTTGATATCATTTTCACAACAATTTCATTTTAAATTGAAAACTTTTTACTTTTCATCTGTACTGACACCTCTACAATTAAATTAAGATATTTTTTTATAAAGCATGAAATTCCATCAAGTTTCAATGAGATTGATAGTAAAACCATCACATCTTATTCATTAAAACTGATCATAGATATTTGCTTTATATTGCCAATGTTGCTTTAGCTATTTCATAAATGAGGATACAAACATTTTACAACAGGGATTTTCATTTAAATATCTCCATGGAGAACTCTTCAAAGATGTCAACCCGTATCGCTTATGAATTTTGATGAAAATAGCTCATGAATTATGATTTGCACAATCAAATGCTCAAATGTGGTTTTTAGATCCAGGCAATAATATTTGAGGCTACTATAGTAGTAAGCTACACAAGAAAAAAGGAAATACATTGTACCAGGAAAAATACTGGAAAATCTAAATCAACTAAAAACGTGGGGATGCGCTGGTTGGGGGACAATATCGATGTAGCTATAGGCCAAGGAAATACTGCATATCGGGAAATTTTCGCCCAGTCAAACTTTCACCCTTCACCAGTAAAATCCAAATTTGCCAGGTTTAAATTTTGCCTTTCATAATTAATTACTATGTAAATTATATCGTTGACTAACGTTGGCTGTAATGATAAATTCATTTCAGAGGGCGACAAATACGAAAAATTAACCGTTTCAACGCTGTAGACCATAATGTTCTCATCAAGATCAATTTATGGTAGAGGTTATTAAAGTTATATAGGGGTGAAAGGGTTAATGTGCACTGAAAATATCCCGCTACACAGTAATAGATTTACCCACAAATAGATATGTCTTATAAACTATATAACAAGAAATCCAATACTTTAATTATGAACCAAAATTAAAGCAGAAATTGTATAAATTACCACTCCATTATTTTACATTTAGTCTTAAAATCAAATTTAATTTATTAGATATAAACATCACCCTTTCTCAACATAAAAATGAAATACAAAATTTGAAATATATGATTCTGTAAAATCCTAACCAGTAAAAGGACATTTTGTATATAAAGTTATTTAAATATGAAAATTGTACATCATACCAAACACAAAATTCATGCAAAGGTGTTTCTCATACATTCTAATACAAATTTAGGCTTGGGAAGTGGCCAAACTGTTTCATGGGTTTTTTTCCAACTACGAAACAAAGACTACAAATCTACCTACTGCGAGTACCGATTAGAGAACCCTGTTGCTTTTTTTCCAAAAAATTACAATAAAATCCTTCACGAAATAAAAACCTTTTACAATGAATTTCATTGACATTTTTTAACTATTAAACAGTCGATTTCATTGAATTTCATTGTTTATAAACAAAATAACAAGCTTTGATTTCATTATAAATGAAGGAATGTGAAAAGTGTTCCAATATTATTTTTTTAATTTCAAAATTGTTTTCATAAATTTTCTGTTTAAACTAAATAACAATCATTGATTTTATTATAAATGAAGGATGGTGAAAAGTGTTCTTAATTTTTTTTGAATTTCACTCTCAATTTTGTTTTCGGAAATTTTCTAACAGTATTTAACCAGGGCCTTAGAACCATCAGGGTTTCTCTAAGCCACTACATAACATGGTCACCACATCAATAAGTGAAAACCCTCCGGGGAAGGACAAGCAAACACCTTAGGTTATGACTTTTATACTGAGTTAGGTCGTACTTTGCATCCTCCCCTTCTGTGACGTCATGCAGCAGTACGTAATACTTCATGAGGTTGGGGGCCAGCCAGCGGGGCATCTTGTTGGGGAACTGTGTCTGTTGCTGGTACTGCTGACCGGCCAGGTTATTAAACCCTGTGATAGGGTCGGAGTGGCCGGACGACACGACAAACACACCTGGTAACAGGGTCAAGGTCAACCACAATAGATCTATGGAAAATGTTTCTGCACTATATAGCACTTAGCGTTTGATCCACAGGTGCTGGACACACACAAGAACAAATATGATGTGTACATAAAAGGTACTAGGTTTTGTAGTTAATAAATTACATACATATGATTTTGAGTGTCCGATACCTGTGGTCTGGTTCAAATTCTGACAGACCTGAATGCTTCGAAATCCAGGCACTCATGTATGGAAACAAGTACAATGTATTGAATCTAGAAGCATAAATTTCCAAAATGGCTTCAATGGAATATTAGGTTTAAATATAACGTTTCCCAAATTTTAATCAATTGTTTTTCAGACCATAATGTGATATATTGAAAATCTTTCAATATTCTAAACAAATAAACTATAATGAATAACTGTACATGTACTATCATGCAATATTCCCTAGTCCAACATTGTACATTAAACAATGAAACCCATCTAATCTGTTATCATGTTGGACAAAATATTTGGTCAGATTAGACAGAATGTCAGAGTACAGAGGTGACAGATTTGACAAGTTTTTACTGTAAATTGAAAGCCTTGTCTCCCTGCACTGTAATGTTTAAAGGATACAGCCTACACAGTGATTAAGGAACTCGTGGTCACTTGGGGGAAGCACTTGTAGAAACACGTCTCGGTAAGCTTCAAACCACGGTGTAGATGCTGCAAGGCAAAATCATAAATTCATTGGCAAGAAACAATATATTTTTAACATCAATTGGTATGAAATCTTTGAACATTCAATCATTTTAATTAAGACTTGTTACTGTATGCTATATATATCATTTGTGCAAATTAAACCACAGACTGCATATGGTCGTTCAATATGTAACATTGATCAGATGCCATTTAATGTTAAGGATCCCAGTTCCTCTTTATACAAATTTATATGAAAATACTATATATGCAAAAAGTAAGAAATTTTCAGTATATCCAATGAATCATGGCTTTGAGGTGATTGACCATTGACAGTTTGCGATTTCAAATTGCCTTTTCCTTAGAATTGAAGTGTCGAAACACACTTTTTCAAACCCATTGGCCAAAGCTCGTTTTGACACCTTATGTTACGGGTCTGCTGAAATCCCTGCCAATACAGTAACACTGTACACGTACCGGATAGCTGAAGGTCATAGTTGCCAATGGATATGACATTTCCCCTCCCACCCTCGACCAGCTGGGGCTGAGCATTGGCCACGGCATCGCTCATCATCTTCCTGGCGATGGCTTGCTGGGGTGGCTGTGATGTCATATCCACCATTGAAATTTTCAGGTGTCGAATACAGTGTGGCACATTGTTGGGGTCACGGATGTGAGCTACAAACATTCAATCGAATAAATGTTAATAATATTTTCAGCAATTAATGTAAGAAAGTGATGAGGAGTAACTACCTAAATCCAACTTGATTTTCCATTGCCACTAGTCTCTTGGTAGAATTGAACTTTTGAAGCAACTTGCAATTTGTCAAGAGTGGGTTAAAATTGAACCAGCAAATTAAGAAACCTAGTAGCAATTTTGTTTTCCATAAAAATGTGTTTTAGGGTGCATAAGCTTCAACGTATGTAATTCATGATTGCAGTTTTGTTTTAGTATCGACTTTTGTTGTGTTGTACGACGGGAAAATAATAAACATTGGGTTTGAAAATGTGATGTACCCTTTCATAAGTGCATAGAACGGAGTAAAACCCACGCGCAACAAAATGCAAGTGCCGTTTCTTTTTCTATTGGCAATTTCGAAAAAAAGCTTCTCACATCTGGCAAGTGTGCGAGCGTTAATTTCCACCCCTTCACAATCCAAGATGATAGACTCCTATGCAAGTTATCATGTTTTGCATTGTGTATTGCCACTTTACACAAATAGTGTTATATATTGGGAAACTTGTTGCAATATATGGTGATACATTGCTGTGGCCAAAGCCAAAAGTTACAACAATGCTTTGCATCACTATAAAATTTTAATTCTATACTCATGCTGACGGCTGATACTTGTTATAATCAAATGGTGATGTTTGAATTTATAACAGAGTTTGGACTGTAACAAAAGAGACAATGCATATTAACAAAACCAAAATTGTATCATAAAATATTGAAATTTTCAAGTTGCTTATAATGTATTTAATTGACCAACTGACTGGGATTATATATAGGAAGAGTGTTTCTCTATCTCAATTGGTAATATATCAGACTGAAGATCCAAGAGGTCTTGGGTTTGATCCCTAGGAGAGACATTTAAAACAATTGTAGCAGAACTGGACTGGGTCACTCGTTGGCAACCAGGTAGCTCAATTGGTAGAGCATCCGTCAAGAGTTCTGAGGGTCCCGGGTTCGAACCCTGGTCTGGCTGTTACATTTTCTCTTTCTCCTGTTACAAAATTGGCAAGCATGCCAACCCTTGTTTCAAGCTTGGGAGTCACTAAGCAAGGGGATATCAAACTACGGTTGTAAATAGTTGTGTCTTAGGGGGCGAAGACTTAGAAAAAGGAGGGAGGAATGTAGTGGAACTGGACTGGGTTGATTGTCTGCAACCAGGTAGCTCAATTGGTAGAGTGTCCGTCTAGAGTTTGGAGGGTCCCGGGTTAGAATCCCGGTTTTGCAATTACATTTTCTCTTTCTCTTATTACATGATAATAATGAATTTAACTCCATTACAATGACTCCTAATATTGCTTGGGGATGCATCATGCAATGCTGTTATCATTGTAAACTCTCAGAACAAGTTTGCTGCTAGAGGAGGAAAATGTCACCTTTCAGCCTTGTGAAATACTAGTCACTTCCTATGGACTTGGGTACGGTAGAGAAATATATTTGAAGCAACAGGAATCATGATGCATTAGGATAAAATATTTATGTTTACTTATGAATAATTAAAACAGTGTTTATGTGCAAATTATGTACTGGTATCAACTTCAAGGCAACACTAGTGTCCTATATTCAATATACTGCAGCAGCACCTGCAACTCCTGAATTTAGAATCATGTAAGTCAAATTTTCTTGGAAGCAGTTCTATTATCAAGTTACTATAATATAGAGTAGCATGCAGTTTAATTTACAGATACCAAGCTGTAGTACTTAATGAATCAGGTTTTTTAATCTCATTTATAAAATATATGCAAATGTTGTGTTCGAGACTGTTCCTTTCAAATCTTAAAACTATCTTAAGTCTAAATGGACAACAAAAACAAAGTTATGAAAACTGAACACTTCGTCCACTTCATAACTGAACAGGTCTGTAACACAGCCCACCCCTCCCACTTTTCGATCGATGAATTACTCGATGTCCTTAATCATGTTTTAGTCAGTACCGACCCCTAAATTACCACATGCAACAGTTAAGTAATTGGTCTGTTGGCTCACAATAACAGTAAAACAAATAATACATAAATTGAGAAATTAGGGCACCTTCGGTAGTAAGGTGACAGAAGGGCTGCACAAGTTCCACAAACGTCAAATTATTCTTCTGACACAACACTTCAGCGTCGGGGCTACACAACACCGCTACATGCGGGTTAAATGTGTTCTGGATAAATTCCTGAGCAGTCTGTTTACACTGAGCCATGTTGAAAGGTTTCAAAATGAACACAGCATCTGCAAAAATAAGCTACAACATTAAATTGGAGGACGTGATGGCTTCAGATCAGCAGCCATCATGCGCATTTTGGTTGTTATCTACTTCCGGTGATCTAAGGGAGAGAACTCCTACCCACTAATTCGAAAGAAAAAGAAATCGATTTTTGCATGTGGCTCTCAGAAGCCAGCTGACTCACCATCTGTTGAATATATTATCATGAATTAATTCTTATGAACCAATCCAGGTAACAACACACGTGTTTCGCTTGTAAAAACATTTATTTGATGTTATTATAGATGATCACCCATGTTTCCAAAATATTTAGCTTAGAAACACATCTGTTTAATTTTCATGTTTTTATTATTAGAAAATATCACTTTCATTTTGTTGTTTACAGAAAGTTTACGCTGGTAGCATATATGCCTAGATTTATTTAGAGTAAAGTGATATCCCGGCTAGTTTTAAGCAATGTACCAAAGAAAAGAAATTTCAATTCAATAAAAGTTTATTTTCACATACACTATAGCTACAATAAGAAAAATGAATGTTCAACACTATACATGTATATATCAAGGTTCTTCGGGTGGAGCGCTGTATTGTAGATTGGGAAGCTGGAGTGTGTTAGGCGACCCGACACCGTTTCCCCGACACAAACGGATTTTGCCTTTCACAGCTAGGCCATGTATATATATGTTAACGTTCAAGAGTTGGGATTGAAAGCAATTATTATAATGGTTCTACTATTTAGCCTTATGTTTTTCATGCAATTCCATGTCAGTTTATTTTTTTCTGCGGTAATGAATAAAGGGCAAGGGGTACCAACAAGTTAAGCTATACCTTTGCAATTGTCACTATTGTGAACATTATGATATTCGATAAAGCTGTTTTCCAAGAAAATATTCCATGAAACCACATGGTGCAATTCATTTTGTACAATCATAGTTGTTCGAAATTGAAATGTTTGAAAATAGAAAGATAGAAACAGAGCAGCAGGGATCGACTGAACTCATGAGTTCCGATTTGCTGGTCGCAAAACATACTAAAAGTACAAGGAAATCATTGAATGATAAAAAGCTCGACAGGGAAAGTTGCTATGCGTCTAAAAAACACACCACTTTTTCTAATTCATTTTATATATATAAAATGGCGAATTAAAAAAACAACTCTCAGGGAACTCTTTTTCATGATTATTACTGCTGTGGTAGTACCTTTACCTCAGTTTGTTATTTTCTTCATGTCAAAATGAATTTGAATTATTAAGTTGTAAACTTCATCAATAGAGACAGACCTACGACGATCGGGGCAGGGTGTACCGCATACTAATGAAACTTCATAGGCATTTGTGGGCATGTGCGTGCCGTAGTTTCGTTCAACCAGACTCTTGTTGTCTGGGCAAGCTACGCCGAACAGAGAAGTGATAAAGCGTCTGGTTGAACGAGACTAGTGCGTGCCGCCGTGAGGTTTGCGCCTAGGTGATGCCAACGGTCCATCTCTATGTCTGTTTTTGCTCAAACTTTACGAGAAGATGTAAGAAGGCATTGCACACTTTTAAAATGCATCATTTGCGACTAGGTGGGGTCAGTTTGCCCTCTGCACCCCTGGAATTAGTCGTAGCAAAATTGAAGTCTCGGTGTGCGCCACGTGGTTGAGACAAGAAGACTAGTTTGATCCTTTTGAATTTAGCGGTCGCGTAGCGGTAAAATTGACTGTCTTTAATGTTATGTGTCACTCCTCTGTAATCTTCAAAGGACAGGTATCAACTTAGTGATTTGTCAGGTGTTTTTTTTTTTTTTTTTTTACCCGAGACCAATCAAATAGCTAGCCGCCTAGGCGCCTTCAATTTTGCTATGAAATATACTCCAGGGGTGCAGAGAACGTAATACCCCTGGCGTATCGACGATGTCTGTCATGTAGCATAAAGCCGATATGACTTCAAATATAAGCTGATCTGTTTTCATTTCAGATGTTGGTTGAAAAGTAACGAATTATTTTAAAGGTGAATCTAAATGTTATGGACTTATGTTATTCAATAATTATTTTGAATAGTATGCCCTTATCGTATTTATAACAAGTAACTATTTTAATCCAGTGAATGTTAAGAAACAATAGTCATCAGATTTTTTTTTATATATCAACCGTTAAATCAGCAAAAACTGATGAGAAAATGAGGATATAAATATAAGCGGTTGGGGTAACCTTAAATGCTTTTCTGAGATTAAAATATATTTTGAATACTATACTTCCATAATTTAGTTCATGGACATATCGTGCTATCGATGTAGTTAAATACAATTATTTAATCTTTATAATCTATAACTCTTATTTTCATTTATGTTAGTGCATACATCTATGACAAAAATACATGTCTAGCTATCATTATTAATTTTTAGACCAGGTATATAGAACACATTAACCTTCAGGCTAAATGACCTCGAGTCGAAACAAACGTGCTTTACATTTCTGATTTATTATCATTTATTTAATTCAGAGTTCAATGCCATGCTGACAAGTTTGAAGGGAACAAGCAGGCATGGTTGATACAAATCTCTTCACGAAGGCAAAACAATGTGTTGGGCTTTGTGAGCAGGAACTGTGCCGTTTTATTGATTATTACATACATACGTTGATCTGTCAGTAGATGATGCAGTGAATACACAGTCTTTTGCAAAAATGAGGGGACAAAACAGAATAAAAAATTATTGGTTCACGCTGATTGTTGGTATTTTAAAAGTTCTCATGGCGTTTTCTTGTCATGAAATATTGCTAATGACTAAACAATGTAGCAACAAAAAGAAATATTTTTAAACGAAATGCTTGGAATATCTGTTCCTTTTGATTAGATCCATCTTCAACACTCTGGTTGAATCCAGTGCGTGCTGCACCCTGTTTCAAAAGAAGCCACCGGTCGCCCACTGTCTCCACAACAGGTCGGGGATTTAGAAAAAAACACGAATGCTACCCACTGTATGTTTAAATAGGCGTAAGTAGCCCCTGCAGAATTGGGGTTTGCTTTTTTGTCCTCTACTAGGGGACACGAAGGCGACAAACAGAAAGCTGTTGCACCCATTACAACATTTCCCCAGGCCGGACAGTTGGTCAAATTGGTAGTTGTGCTCTTTTTGCTTGACTTTCAGCTTTATTTGATTGGGTGGCGATAAAGACTGCTCAGCCCATTGTCTGCATAATGTGACCAGGTGGAGTGTTGCGCCTTCGAGCTATTTGCTTGACTTTCAGCTTTAATTGGGTGTCGGTATAATGTGACCTACTGAGTTATCGTTCTGCCATGTCCAGGGTATGACATCTCAGTGCTATAACACTTAAATGTACCATTGGTTGGTCCCATCAGCCGTGGAAAGTGTCTTCACATTATACTAGCTGTTTTGATGATATAATACACAGACATTCAAGTCGTTTACTGTTGAGGAAACCAACTCTAGACAAGGACGAAAGGAAGAAGTTCCTAGCTGTGTCGAACACGTCTTTTTGTCCATTATTTTAGAGGGAAAATGTGGTGCCAAGAGCCGTAAGGGATATTTTATTACAACTTTCTCCACAACAACCAAGAATCTGCTTTTATACCGTCCATGACACTCAACAGAGGCTGGCCTTATGGTCTGACACTGAGGCCGCCATGGACAACAACTGTTTGACAATTCTAGTGTTACTGCATTTATCTAGTTTATCATTGATAATTACATATTTTTACAAGCGCCTACAGGAATATCTACTGATGCACTCTCCTGTGCCCAATTCCATTTGACAGACATAAGCCAACGAGTTGCATGCAATATGAAACAATGTCTCTGTTTACAGGAAACAAGATATTTACAATTGGTGTTTCGCAAGGGCATGTGCTGGGACCTAGAAAGTACTGTTTTATTCGACATCTGTCGGAAACAAAGGTTTATGCCGATGATATCCAAGTGTACGGGATGATAAATTGGGGATTTTTCAACTCAATAGGAAGTATGCTTGATTGATATAATACATGGACTTCAAATGTATTGAGATTTAACTGGGAGAAAATAAATATCTTTATGTTCATTTCCAAACAGCAGAAACGAAACAAGCATCCATTCCAGTTTAGAGTTGGTCCCAGTTTATAAGGGCCTTGCTATTGAGTTTAAGATTTTAGGACGGTATTATGATATTTTCATGACTACTGCAAATAAGTGAGATCAGTAAATAAATCACGTAACTTCAACGTCAGTTTTCGGAATAAACACATCGAAATATGCTCTGTTCTTTATGAAGGTTTGTGCGACATTCTTTTTATAGCTGAAACCAAACTTGATGACACTTTTAACCAATCATGTTTTAATGTACCTGACTTTAGTTCCTTCAGGAAAGACAGAGACGCTCACGGCGGCGGTCTCCTAGCGTACGTGAGATCAGACCTTTCTGCTAGGAGACGAGATGATTTAGAGTTCGGTGAGTCCATTGTCATAGAGTGCTCTGTACAAAAAATGAAATGGGCACTCGTAGGTTCATATAAAGCCCCTTCCATGAACGACGACTCTTTTATGGATGACGCTTCCATCGGATTAGACAAAATTTTCACTAAAAATGACAATGTAATGATTGTTGGTGATTTAAACTTTGGTTTTTCACATCCAACAAAGGGTAAATCTTTGTTGGATTTGAGTGATCTCTTTAATCTTTCAAATAAAATCGCATCTCCTACCTGCTATGTGAAAGACTGCAATCATCTTTAGTTGATGTAATCCTCACTAACCGTCCTACCGTTTGCTTCCACCCAGTTAATTTTGGATGTGGCATTAGCGAATGGCATAACTATATTGGCATAGTAATTAAGGGAACAGCCCCTAGGCTACCCAAGGATAAATGTAAATTTCGTAGTTACAGAAATTTTGACAAAGCAAGTTTTAATCATGATTTAAGTAATGTGCCTTTTGACGTAGCTTTTACTTTTGATGATGTTTATTGGGCCCATGAATGTATGTTTAAAGATGTAATTGATAAACATTTACCAATTAAGGAGAAAAGGACAAAGGTAAATAAGCCCCCCTGTTTAATAGTGTATTTAGAAAAGCCATTTACAGGAAGCGAATATTATTTAATAAATACAATA